GTTAATAGTTAATTCTTGACAATTGAAATTGAAATGAAACCCCGACCCACGCTTTAACTTAAAACCGCCTCCCTATGCGATTCGCACTGTCATATGCCCATCACTAACCGTGCCTGGCGCTCACGCTACCATCTCTAGCTTACATTTAACCCGTTCTCTTGTGTCGCATCTTTTTTCGATTTGTGCCCCAATCGAAATGCTCTTTGGTGTTTTGTGTAATTAATTAGGCAAATTTATATACACAAACACACATATATCAATATGCATACATACAGCAATCGATATCTGTGGATATGTTTATGGGAGGCGGTACATTGTTTTTGATGTGGCTTATAGCTAAATCGAAGATTACGTTGTCATTGTCAAAGCAACTGCACTTAATTAAGCCAACTTGAGACGCACAGTCAAAATGCAGAAAAGCCCGAAATTGCAGCACACACAAACGCAAACACGGAGGTAGAGAGCGGGCACATAATTGATAGGATCCCAGCAAGCAGAGGCAGACAAACAAATCAAAAACCACAAAGCTTCCTTCCACACAAAAAGCAGTGACCAGCCAGGACGGACCAGACAGCCAGTGGGACAGGCACAGACACAGCTGGACAATGGCCGAGGCGGAGCCGGAGGCGTAGGAGGGGGCAGGACAGCCCCTGCCCACGCTCAGCGCTCAAAACAATGGCCAGCGAATGTTGCCTAATCAGTGGCAAGAGCCCAATGGCCAGGCAGGGCGGGGTATGGAGACTGAAGTGAAGGCTGCCAGAATGAGCGCTCGTTACGTATCTACAAAATTGATGAGTCTGTCAAAATGTGAATGCGAGAAATCGAAAATCGGCGAACGATACAGAAACAGCACAGGACGCGGCACGTGTTCCCAGCGCTGTCATCATTAATTTTTTAAGCGTTTCGCTGGGGCAGGTAAAAAAAACGAACTATAAAACTGACAGAGAGCGAGAGAGAGAGAGAGGGGGAGGTGGGGCTTGGCGTTATTCCTGGAAAAATGACAAATTTTCGTAGAAGTCACGCGGCCAGCTTGTGCCTGTGGACTGTGGGAGTCGCAGTCGTCGCATCTGGTAACTGGTGTCGCGTCTCTGGGCTCTTTTATGATCATGTGAAATTCCTAGTTTGGCGGCGGCACTTGCTTTTCAACTGTCAGTGGCTGCGCTTTGTGTTTCCATTCAACCAAATGCGCCATAAATCAAAAAATCAAAAAACCATACAACAACAACAACAACAACAGCAACAGCAAAAGGGAAAAAAAAGGTAGCCCAAACCTGCAGCGACTTAAACAGTAGTTGCTTTTGAAATCGCGCGCATATCCGCAGGAGCTTCCATAATTTCGTCGACGTGCCCCATGGACTGCTGGGGGACCACTCGGCACTCTCGGGCACGTATTCGTGTATATCTTATCGATGCTTTGCATTTTGCATGTTGCTGTTGTCGACAACAACAACAACAACATTGATGCAGCAGCAGCAGCAGCAGTTGTTGCAGCCACAGTCCAGGCAGTCTGTGGCAGCCATTGCAACAGAGAGAAAAGAAAAAAAAAACTGGTTGCACAGCCAGCAAATACATTTTTCCCAGTTCGATTTGGGTCTTCTGAAAGATTGCCGACTGCGATAAGCCCAGCTGCTGGTTAAAGCTGCGCATCTCATGCGTTCTGGGCGTTCATTATTCGGCTTTGATATGTTTATTGCCTCAATCGCACGATCCAGACAGTCGCTCAAATCAGTCATAGAATGCGCGGCCCCTGCACTCAACTATCCATCAAACTGGCCACTTCTCAGTCCAGCTCCAGCTCCAACTTCAGCTTCAGCTCCAGCTCCGGCTGTACACGAGCGAAACGCGTGTAATTAGATAAAAACGCTTAAACTCGCAAGATACTCAGTCAGATACGAATGCTCTACGCGTTGCTGTGCAGCACACAAATCTGAGATTCTTTTTTTATTTGCTTCTTGTTGTAGATTTCCTTACATTTTATCTACAGAGGAGCAACAATTTTTGCCCAAGTCGCCCGCTTAGAATACACTTAACGATGTAAATTATATTCAAGAAAAATGTAAATATCTCCAGATCCTGTCAATTAGTTTCAACTTTTTTTGTTTTGTTAATTCGATGAGCAGCTTTTTAGAATATAACTGATGTTCCAATGCTCTTTAGCTATTTTTAGGGCATGGTTTAAATTTTTTTTAAATACAAATAGGGTTAAATAAATAGTTCCGAATAAATTATAAAAAATAATGGCATTCATATAAAAATTACTTGAATACGTTTTAATTATTTTAAAAATAATTTCAAGAATTTATTTTGTAAATTTGAATGTGTTTTTAATTGCTTACAAGTAGCATAATTTATTTCAAGTACCCCTTTGTTTAGAGTATAAATATCTAACAGTGCTAGAAGAAAAGGTTCAAGAGCAGACAGCAGCCAGAAGGTGCGGCCATTAAAATTTAAGCACTACAGAATAAAATTTGAAGTTTAAGCCAAGATCATAGCAAGAACAACAACAACAACGTGTTGCCTCTTTTTGTTGCTTTCGCCTGTTGTCAGTTGTTTAATTGAAAAATTTATAGCCAAAAAAACAAAAATAAAACAACAAAATGGAACAACATGCAAAAATGACACGCAGCTTGCAAATGCTGCAAAATGTTGCAAATGCTGCGAAACGTTGCTCGTTAAAAGTGAAAAAGCCGCAGCAGCCGCATGTGCTGCCACACCTCTCCCGACCCACCGCAAGTGCCGCCAGCCGCCTGCCGCAGTCGAAAAATTCATAGACGACAAACACGAGACGAAAATTGCATTTGCCGGGGCCCACGCAGCCCGCAATCCCCCCTCTCCGCCTCTCCGCGTAAAAACCCCAAAGTGTGCCGCAATAGCGCCGAAAAACGAAAAATCGAGCAGACCACGGCGCGCCAAATGCCAAAGCCAGCCAGAACAGCCCCAGCCGCCCCAGCTCGCGTCAGCAACCCCCAAAAAACACACACACATTTTTCATGGGGTGGTTTTGGGCAGCACAACATGCAAAAGATACGCCGCAAAAGCGGAAAGAACCCCAAGCCCAACTACCCCGCCAGTTTAGCCCCCCTCTAAAAAAAAAAAAAAGATACAAGCGCAGGAGTTGCGCTTAAATTCCCATTACGACTCGTAATGGCTGCGGTGTGTGTGCATGTGTGTGTGTGTGTGTGTGCGAGGGGGTCCCAAAGAAAAATGAAAACGCACTGCGCAGGATCATTAAGGCAGACAAACACCTACACACACACACACACACACACAGCAACAAACAATGAATGCGAAATGTCAGTCAGCAAAAGATACGCAGCCTGGAAATTTATACAAAAGAAGCTGTCCAAAAGCGACAACAACAACAACAACAGTGAGGAGTCGGAAGAAGAAAAATGGTGGCCACGCACACAATAACAACAACAACAACAACAACAACAACAACAACAACAACAACAATGACCGACTATATAGGGTAGCTTTACAGGCAGCTTGAGCGGGACAACAAACGCGCGTGTGCGAAAGAGATGCGGGCAGAAAAAAGCGCACATGCCACGCAAAAAGGCAAAGGCTGAGGCCGGGTAGCTTGAAGCTTTGGGCTTGAAGGCTGCTGCTGAAGGCCGGCTGAGTAGCGGCGGGAGCGGGGCGGGTTGGAGTGGGGAGACAACGCGGATAGCTGGGTGGCGAGGCACATGGAAGTAAATGCTGGCGTCTGAAATGCTTCAAGCATGAAAGCAACAAACACAAGCAAACGAGAAAACCAGGCGAAAAAAAGCGCAGGCCAAAAAAAATAAGAAAAAAAAAGAAAAAGAAAGACAGCAACAACAACAAAAGGCCCAACAACGAACGGGCAACGGCAGCAACTTGTCTGCTCCGCCTTTATAAATAATTCATGTGCAGAGGCTGCGAGTGCGAAAGATACGCAAGCTTCACACACACACACACACACACGCAGAGCAGCAGCAGTTGCTTTGCAGATACAGATACAACGCGCTGAGATACGCAGCCACGTTTAAAGATACAAAGAGGAAACAGCCACAAAGCTTCGTGTGTGTCGCTTGCTCTCTCTGTGTATGCGTGTGTGCGTAAGCATCTTTGTTTGTGTGTGTGTGTGTGTGCGGCACAACGAAACATTTAAAACGTGCTAAACGCGCGTCAAAGTTTTTCTTAATTTTTCAACAGGCGAAAAGTTTTTCCTGTTGCAAAAGTTTTTTCGCTGTGCTGCCAAGGATTACAACACACGCCTATATATATATATATATATATACAGTACATATATATATACGGGCCGTTAGCAGTATTTGGGGTGGCAGCACTGGCAGCACTCGTACATAATGTGGCAATGATTGCATTGATTTTTTTCTACTGCTTTTGGCACCCGAGCCCAAACTTTTGGCGCTTTCAAGGCCCAACTTTTGGTCCAAGCTCCCAACTTAAATACTTGAAAATTTGTGCACCGCTTGGCAGATTTATGAATTTTTCAAATGTTTTTCCGGCAAAAGTTTTATTTTTGGGGCGGCAGACACACACACGCACACAGCGTCTCAGCTCTGGGCTTGTTTGATAGCAGTTTGTTAATTAGCGCCATCTTTGTTTTGCGACTTACTTATTTTTGTTTACAACAAATCGAGGCGCATAATTGGCTAAAAGTGCAGCGCCAGCTTCATGTAAAACACATCAGCAGATTAAACAAAGCGCCAAGTGATTTACCGACGCTGTCAATTGCCGACGGCGCTGAATAAAATGCTGCAACTTCAAGTTTTCATCATCTTAATAAAACTGTAATTGAATATTAATGAAATTCAAACTGCACAACGTAACAGAGCTCGCAGTCGCTAACAGCTGTTAACTGCGCTGCTCTGTTAAGTGCGTTGCAACTGAGCTCGAAGTGTCATAGCAGCCAGCTCTATTATTAGCGCACAATTCTCATTTGAATTTCAAATTGAAATGCAATTGCAATTAATATACTCATATATATGTTTGGAATTTATTTGATCTTACAGAAAAACAACGCTTGTCGCATTGTGTGGGCTGTGGCGGCCAAATACACGATCAGTATATACTGCGCGTTGCGCCCGATCTGGAATGGCATGCGGCGTGCTTAAAGTGCCAGGAATGCAGGCAATTTCTGGACGAGAGCTGTACGTGTTTTGTGCGCGATGGCAAAACCTATTGCAAGCGTGATTATGTTAGGTAAGTGATCTTTGATATTGACTTCAAGTAACTAGATATAGCTCTTAAGAAAAACAAATAATTCTAGGCAAAAATTGCCTTTCTGTTATTCATATTTTTTCACAACTCGCTCCCAAAAGAAAGTTAAGTATGAATATTATCGGATGTTGAAAGAGAGATACAGAGAGATTTGATAAGTAAATTATAGTTTTAACAAATCAATTTTTAGTTTAAAAAAAGTAAAGTCAAAGTAAAGATATAAAACCTAAGTATCTTAGGATCAGACTTTTAAGAGCCTAGTCTAAGTTTTCTAGGCTTAAGCGCGTAAATCGAATATGTAACGCTTTCTTATCGAGATCTTAAATTAAATATTTCTTAGCACTCGCCGAGTTCCAGCTACTTATGACTAAGATTAACTCATATATTATTTTTATGCTTAATTTTCGCTCGCCTCATTCCTCTTTAATCGAGCTCAGATAGAAAATTAATAAGATTTCCTATAAAATCGCGATTTGTTAGCGCAGCTCTAAACATTTTGCCACTTGTACAATCACGAGCTAATTGTGGAAATTAGTAAGCTGACAGCGCAGATACCCTACGCACGCGCTGTACACTCAACGCAGCAAGTAGGTTTGGCTTGATCATGCGCTTGGCCCTGTTTCAGAATTGTAACAGCCCTCACTTGTTGGCCAGGCCAATTAGATGGAGCTTGCCAACGGCTCTTGTTTGGGCTACACATAAACACATTCTAAACGGCCGTCGACAGCTGTGTAGCTTCTTTGGGGTATCTCACGGATTTCATCACTGCAACAGCAACAATTTAGAAATTGCCATTTGGGCTTGAGGAGCGGCAGAGCGGAAGTTGTTAGAGGGGGGGACAGTTACTCTACAGTCGCATCGTCGCGACTTGCCAACTATTTGCCATGCAAATCTTTGAATAATTGATTAACACGTGCAAAGCTATAAATTAACACTTTACCTGCACAAATGATTGATGTTCAGGGCGGCAGCCACAAAAGGTTTACATTTCGTTTATTTTTTCCTCACTTGTATTTATTTATTTATTTTTTTTTGCATACCCTGCAACCATAAAATGGCCAAAAGAAGGCCATGACAACCGCGTATCTATAAAAAAAATTTATAATACATATCTATAAATATATCTGCATATTATGCCTCATCGAACTCGGCGTCTATAAAAGCTGCAGCCGGCCTACGAGGTATATAGCTTCTCATATAGAACATGAAGACTACACAGTAGGATAACTAGGATAACTATGTATACATATATAACATATGTTAAGTATTTAATATAAATTGTATTGAAATGTGTATAATATAGTCGACTTTTGTATTAAGACATGCTACAACACACACATATATATAATACATGCATCAGATTTTACAGGGTATCTGCCCGTCTGGCAGCCTCGCCTTGCACATGCCAGTATTTCATATAATTTTGTACATGTACATATATATATATATATTTTAATAGTCATAAGCAAGCGACTTGAACGCATTCAAGGCTGTTTACACACTTATTCACATTGGCTCTAATCATGGGACTCTCTTCTTCTTCTTCATTTTCTTCCTTCTGTGGCACCTGTTTTATTCGCAGGTTATTTGGTACAAAATGTGATAAATGCGGTAACTCCTTTAGCAAAAATGATTTTGTGATGCGAGCCAAAACGAAAATCTTTCACATCGAATGTTTTCGTTGCTCAGCGTGTGCCCGTCAACTGCTGCCAGGTGCGTTATTGTTGCCCTTTGCCCCCCACACTCGATAGTGTATTTATTTATCTATTTATTTACTTTTGCTATTTCTCGGCTCTATGAACAGGCGATGAATTCGCGTTACGCGACGCGGGCGCCCTGTACTGCAAGGAGGATCACGATGTGCTCGAGAAATCATCGCAAAGTAGTCTAACATCATCATCTGTGGAGAGCAACAACAACATTAGCAGTAATAACAACAACAATACAAATCTTAGCAATAATAACCATTCCAGCGAACTGGGCTCAATGTCGGGTGAGTGTGTTTACCTTTAACTTGACTTGACTATCTCTTAATTGCCTCAAGATGGGCTACTCGACTCGGGCTCGAATTCTATTTGAATTGAAATTTACTCACTTGAGTTTCTAGCTGGCGTATTGAGTTTGAGCACAGTTTCTTGTAAAGATTTATAGATTTTTAAAATTGATCTTTAATCCACTTCCTTTGACTTGGTTACTTTGTACTTGGCATATGAATTGGTTCCTATTTGTGACTAATAACTCATATATTAACTATCTGGATCAACTTCCTTTAAGCTCATTGGGGTATTAGCTACTACAAAAAAAAATACCCTTTGTTAGTTCATCTGAATTTTGATTATAACTGAGGTCTTCAGCTTTTACTGTAACTTTTTGAACTGAACAAAAAATTCACTGGGACTTAACTTAACTTGATTTAGCTAGGATGTATAATATAAGATTTTCGTTATGGCTTAAGACTATTTGGCTGCAGCTCAGCCTTTATATTAAGGTCTTCAGCTAGTTGCAAACTCCCCTCAGAATAGCTGAAATCCATTCTCCTAAGTCCCGCAACTATCGCAATTTCAAAAGAAAAACGTTCTAGCTCCCTCCTTGCCTCTACTTGCCTTGCCTAGCCTAGCTAAAAAAGAAGTGAAGACTCAATTAGCCCAAATTGCAATAGACCAAATGATTTTTCCGCGTAACGCTGCCTATCATCTGGCCTAGTTATCCGTTTAGATTGAAAGTCCAAAGCCCCAATTAGGCTAAATAGAATTAGAGAGAGTGAGAACGTCTCTGGGTCGGCAGTACAAAGGGCTGTGTTCGTGTTTTATTCTCAGAAAGACAGCGTTACATCCTTGTAAGCGATAAAGTGTCAATAGAAATCGGCAAACGTCAAACAATGTACGACAATTGTCAAACCATATCGTCAACATAATCTCATTGTTTAAACTGAAGGAGTCGCAAGGGGGGAGAGCAGGGTACCAGAGTACAACCCAACAGACCTTATCAACATGCGGCGGTGTTGTCAAAGTCGGGCCAAGCTCGTGTGCGGGCTCCAAAGCTAGAGAGAAGGAGGTAGACCCGAGAGAGAGAGAGAGAGAGAGAGAGAGAGAGAGAGAGAGAGAGAGAGAGAGGTGCCTCTAATAGTTGTCTGAGGGAATTTGCAAAAGGTGTTGCAGGCGGGAAAGGGAGTGCAGCAGCTGCTGTGGCAAACACAAAACAACAAAAAAAGCGAAAACAACTCAAAGCTGCATTGAAGCATTCAAGCGGGCAAACATTGACAACTTCTTGGGAAATGTTGCTGTTGTTGTTGTTGGGGCTGCTCGATCTGTGAATCTTGCCGGATCGCCTGATCAATCCAGCGTCTCGATGAGTCCCCATTCATAGAGTTCCACTTGTTGTGCCTGTGCGTCTATTTGTTTTCAACTCGAATACGGCACGCAGCACGTCCAAGTGTTTGCCCAACTGCGGCGCTTTGAAGTCCACGCTGTCACGCTTGCAGTCGCAGTCACAGTCACAGTTACAGTCACCGTCAACGTCACAGTCACAGCCTTGCGCTTTAATTTGTATAAGAGTTTTTGCCAAATTGCCAAATGATAGAAGTCTTTTTGTTTTAATTTTGTGACTGCACCCAGCTTCAAACGGAACGCCGATCGATTGTCGCGCCCGGCTCATTCATGGATGCGATCGTTATCGAAATTAGATAACGATAACAAGTTGTCGCGGTGTTGTGAAACACGACTTAATTACGAACCACGACGCGCCAAGAACCACGCATCCCATGGAACCCATCCCCATGCCCATGCCCATGCCCGTGCTCATGCCCGTGCCTCAGACATAATTTTTCGTATGCCGTGCAGCCTCTTTGATCTCCAGCGGCAGGGGGTAGCTGGGTATAGGGGTGTCTGATGGTCGGAGACTGTGCTATTTTTGGTTTCTTCTTGTTTTGCATTTTTTCGTGCGTGTTGCGGTCTATTGGCATTCGCCTTTGTGGCCGGGCCGTAGTTGAAGACAATTTATCAACGCGAACTTCAAAGCGCTGGCAAAAATAGCAAAATGATTGCGAATTGACAAACGATTCTTTAACGCATAGTTTTAACCCAATTTCCCTACAGATTCTGGCAGCGAATCGGGCTCACACAAAAGTATTAGGGAAAAGCGTCCCTCGGGTCCATCGGACGGCAAGCCGACGCGAGTGCGCACCGTGCTCAACGAGAAGCAGCTGCATACGCTGAGGTAAGTCGCAGGCTTAACCAGCCCATAGCCCGGTATAAGCTAATCCGGGAATATCCTTGTAGAACCTGCTATAATGCTAATCCGCGACCTGATGCGCTCATGAAGGAGCAGCTGGTTGAGATGACGGGCCTGTCGCCGCGGGTCATACGCGTCTGGTTCCAGAACAAGCGCTGCAAGGACAAGAAGAAGACCATCCAAATGAAGCTGCAAATGCAACAGGAGAAGGTAAGCCAGCTTCAGCTTCAAGTGATCCACATATATATCTATATCTAATTGGGTGTTTGGCTTTTCCAGGAGGGTCGCAAGCTTGGCTATGGCGCCATGCAGGGCATACCCATGATTGCCAGCTCGCCGGTGCGACACGATTCGCCCCTGAATCTGCAGGGTCTGGATGTGCAGACATATCAACCGCCATGGAAAGCCTTAAGCGATTTTGCCCTGCACGCCGATCTGGATAGCAATGGGGCCATCAATACGCACACGCCCGCATTTCAACAGCTGGTCAATCAGGTGAGTCAACCAACCAATACCCAAAAGAGTTTCTGATAGTTCATTCAAGAATTCCAAGCAGGTTCCTTTTCTATAGACAGGGTTTTATGCCGGGCCAATTTATACCAGAATTCCACTTTATTGCTTTTGGCATGAAAAAGTTGCTGAAAAAGTAGCCGACCCCAATTCGGACTTAGCCATATTTGTTTTTTAAAATAGGTTTCTTTATATATCGATCAGTTGAGATTAAGAGTTTTTTATTTTTTAAGTTAATTTTATTTTTGCTAGTTTTCTGTTACTTTTTACTTTTAGCAACTTATATCAGCGTGAGTAAGAGATTAAGAGAGATTTATAAAATCTTCCAATTTGCTGAAAACATATTTAGTATTATGCTGTCAGCCTATATAGAACATTTGTAGTTTGAACAAATTATTTCACAAATGGAACCTGTTTAAACTTTTGAACCAGTTTCGAACGTGATCGAAACTTTGAAATGAGAGCTAAATTGGAAAATCCCTTTAAAGCAAATGTATTTAAGTACTGAACAGATAATTAACCAATTTTTAGTTCAAACCGCTCAAAACTTATTTGGAACAAGTCCTAACTCATGCTCGATTCAAGTTTAAGCTAGCATTAAAAGAATATTGAAGAATAAGAAGAAGTGCCGAACCGGTTTAAATATATTTTTAAAGCGATTTTAAGACTGTCCACTAAAGTATGGCTTACATATTCTCTGTCTATGCTCTAGATGCACGGCTACGATTTAAATGGAATGCCCGTGCTGCCACCACATCCGCCACAGGGACCACACCCACCACCGCCGGGTCAGCAAATGAACGGCCCGCCTGGGGGCAGCAGCCTGGACTCGGGCATCACGTCGCACCATCATCCGGATAGCACAGACTCGTATGTGACCTACCTGGAGAGCGATGACAGTATGCAAGGCAGTCCATAGACAAAACGTACCGAATCTAATCTCAGCTTCTTTTGTTGCTCCAGAATCCAAGCTGGCGCTGACGCCATCGTCCTCGTCATCGGCATCGGCGGCCACATCGATCTCATCGCCGCCGTCATCAACAGCTGCCGGCGGTGTGGTGGGTGGTGGTGTTGGTCTTGGTCTTGTGGGCGTAGGCGTGGGCGTGGGCGTTGGCTTAGGCGTTGGCGGTGGTTCCATTGCCGCCAATCAGTCGGCCACGGAGCAGCTGATGCAAATGCTACAAAAAGTTACCGGCTCGCCGGCATCAGTCCTCTGAGCGCAAGCCCAACTGCGTCTGGCGGCGGCGGCGGCGGCATCGGCGGCGGCTGGGGGCGTGGCGGCAGCGATGGCGAGGATGCGGATGCGAATGCAGCTGCAGCTGCTGTAAAACAGCGCAAACAGCTCGCGGGCTTGTGCAATGTGGCGAAGCTCTTGCGCGATATATTCGTGTCGGTTTTTGATTCGGTGCCAAAAATAGTCTGTAGGCCATTGGCTGGCATTAAATCTGGGTCTCTGGCCAGGCTCTCTCTACCTCGGCCTCTGCCACTGGGGCTTGGGTCCTACTCTGACTCTGGTTCTGGGCGCGGTTACGGGTTGCGTGGTGCGGGGTGCGGGTACGGGTTTCGGTACACAGAACTGGAGACGGGCAGTTGTCAGTTTCAAGTTTCATTTTGCCGTTTTCTTTGTTATGTAATATACCAATTTTTGTTGTCTTTTTCGAATTAAATTAATTACGCAAAAAACAAAAAAAAAAAAAACAAAATAAAAAAAAACAACAAAAATGCTCATACACTTGAAAAGTTTTAACAATAATTTCGCATTAAAATCAAGCTCGTCAAGTAGGGAATTTCATTAAACACACAAATTGTACATAATTTTTATATATATACATACATATATATTTTCATTAAAAATGCAAGAAACAAAACAAAAGGGAGAAAAAATTGAATCACAAAAATCATATGCGTACATTAAAAACCAAATGGAAAGGAAAACGAGAAATTGACTATAAAGAAGAACCTCGTGTGTATTATATGGGTATATATAAACTGCAAAGTAAACTAAACTATAAATAAAATCGCACTTGGCCAGTTGTAAATCGAATTAACAAAAATCAGCTACGTTAAGTTCATTAAATTGTATTGAAAGAAGAAAAAAAATGGAAACGTATGTAAGTGAGAAAACTGTAACTAAATCTAGACTTATTTGTTAGTTTTTTAAATATATTTCCATTAACACAAAGAGTAAATAGAATAAAACGAAAGCAAACTGTAAGGCAGCGAACGTACCAAGGATGTTTAATAAATTGTTTCGTGAAACAACTAATGTATTTTCAATAATATTTAAATAATATTAATTATAAACAGTGCATAAGTAATTTTAGTAACTATAGAAAATGTTTAAATGAAATTACAAACGAAAATAAATAACAAAAATCACCACTGACGATGTTTTCGAATGTTGCACCTTTTCAAATTTGAAAAGTATGCGCGCAATTAAGCTAGTGCTGCCACTCTACCCAAATATTACATTCGTAAGGGTTTGGCAGCACTGCTAAAGCGCAGCCAACTTCGCTTTGAGTCAAAAATGCTGCACAGCCAACTTCAAGTGAGTGCGCCAAATGCGCGCTGTCAGCAGCATGCGAGCTAAAAATTGCGCACAGCCAACTTCACGTGTCAGGCACGTAAATAAGTTTTGAAGTTGTTTTTATGCCTGTTTTAAATTCTTACATAAAATATTAACAACAATGTCGATAGCTAAGCGCGTACAGGTTTGTATTGATGGAACTTATATCCTTAATAGATAAAACAAGTACATTGCTTACAGCAATGGGCAACTTTTGCGCGTACATGGCACATATATGACTGCACCTGGCAAAATCCTTTTGAGTCCGCTCAACTGGTCAAAACACATCTAATGGGCCTGCATAAACCAATCTACCATCCTATGAGTAAGTAGAAGCCAGAATTAGGTACTTTTGTAATAGTTTTAAGTGAACAACTATGGAAATACGCGAAATTCTATGCGCTTGTTACGTCACAAGCGGCGCGAGTGTCAATTTATGTTGTTGTGAGGCGTTTGCCGGTCGTGATAGGTGCTCGCAGTGAATGAAGAATTCTCAAGCCGGGACCAGTTCTAGGTTAGCTTAACATAATATGCTCCAATCAAGACTAAATCTGAGCTATATTTGCAGATGACTGCGGCGACCATGTGGTGCTGATCAACACCAAAGAGATAGCGTTGCCTGGCGATGAATGGGTTAAGCGCGTTTATTTCCACCACACTGGCTATCCGGGTGGCGCATCCTGGACGCTGGCCTGGCAGCTGCACGAGAAGGATCCCACCATGGTTATGAAAAAGGCTGTGTACAACTCAATGACGGGTAATCTACAGCGCAGGCATACGATGCAACGGCTGCATCTCTTTGCCGACGACAAAGTGCCTGAGGACCTTTTGGCGAATGTTACGAATCAAATACGCACGCCGCGCACAGTTCCCCAGCGATTGGATCACATAGACAAGGAAACGCTGGAGAACTTCCCCGCCATAATGGATTATCCCAAGGATTATGTGTTGCGTTAAGGCAGGCATCAGACTTACTGTTAAGCAAAATATAATATTGTTATTTCCAAATGTGTTCGTTGCGTCTAAATACCCTTGCAAAGGGTATCTCCAACAGGTCACAGAAAGTATAACGCACAGACATTTTTTAAAACGCCTTGCTTTATACTAGAGTCATATCATAACGCAGGGGCATATAATCTTCGACAGATCGAAGCAACTTGTTTTATACAATATATTGAGAGCAAAGTAATCGGGGCGATAATTTTTGTATGCTGTACATATCGATATATTTGTATCGATAGCATAGCTGCAGCCCTGGTCAGCACTTTGTTTTCTGCTGCCGGCATCAACAGTGAGTTGTGCTTTTTCGCCATTTTTTAAGAAACGCCCTCGCATTTTTGTGGTCTGTGATCATCTTTATTGCGTCTTAAGTGTTCTGCAAGCCCGTCAGTTGGTGAGATTCTTGCAATTTTACAGAGTATTCGCCTAACAGGCGTTGGCCGTGTTTGTCTTATCACACCTATCGGGCACTCGAGTAAAGCTAATTACTTACTCTTTCCATTTGTTTGCAGTCTCCAGACGAACCTTGTGCACGACACAACTGCAGCCAGAGCTCCATCAATCGCAGCTGTTGCCAATATATAAGTTACAAAAACGTAATATGGGTCGTTTGAGCAACGTTGATCCCAGCTCCTACTCAGAGCCGGAGCTGATAACCACCGAGCACAGCTCTATTAATTGGAAAGTTGACTTTGAGTCCACCAAGCTGCGCGGCAGTGTCTTGCACAAATTCAATGTGCTGTCCAGCAACCTAGAGAAAATTGTGAGTACATCAAGTAATGACACTCTTTCGTATAATAAATAGGTTTTTATTTTGCCAGCTGCTGGATGTTCGTGATATAGACGTGAAGAATGCCACGTTACTGGCCGGCGGCACTGAGCTGCCCATTAATTACTTCATCAGCGATCCAGTGCCCGATATGGGCCAGAAGCTGACGCTGGAGCTGCCAACCGGCACTGCGAAGGGCAGGTGATCGGGCGTTCTGATAAGCTGCCAGCTAATCTTTTTACAGCACTTGTATATAATGGCACTTATAATCATATCTTTATTGCAGCCTAAACGTACGCATTGATTACGAGACGGCCAGCAACGCAAGTGGACTGCAATGGCTGAATCCCGCCCAAACGCTGGGCAAGAAGCATCCGTATATGTTCTCGCAATGCCAGGCTATACACGCACGTTCTGTAATGCCCTGCCAGGATACGCCCGCTGTTAAGTTTACTTATAACGCCGTTGTGGAACATCCCACTGAGCTGACGGCATTGATGAGTGCTTTGATTGACAAGAACGAGCCGGGCAAGACCCACTTCAAACAGGAGGTGCCCATACCCGCATATCTGGTGGCTATTGCCATTGGTAAACTCGTGTCCCGTCGCTTGGGCGACAACTCAAATGTGTGGGCCGAGGAGGCCATTGTTGATGCGTGCGCTGAGGAATTCTCGGAAACATCGACCATGCTGAAGACCGCTTCAGATTTGTGTGGCCCGTATGTGTGGAAGCAGTACGATTTGCTGGTCATGCCGCCATCATTTCCATTTGGCGGCATGGAGAATCCTTGCCTGACTTTTGTTACGCCCACGCTGCTTGCTGGCGACAAATCTTTAGCTAACGTGGTGGCCCATGAAATTGCCCACAGCTGGACTGGTAATCTGGTGACCAATAAGAACTTTGAGCATTTCTGGCTAAATGAGGGCTTCACTGTGTTCGTCGAGTCAAAAATTGTGGGTCGTATGCAGGGCGCCAAGGAGTTGGACTTCAGAATGCTCAGTAATCTGACCGAGCTACAGGAGTGTGTAAGCAACGTGTGCCCCATATGCAATAATGAGTCAATCTAATCTCTGACTTCCACTTGCAGCTACGCACTCAACTCTCTGGCACGCCGGAGCTAACCAGACTGGTTGTCGACTTGAGCAACTGCGGACCTGATGATGCATTCTCTTCGGTTCCCTACATAAAGGGGTCCACATTCCTGCGCTATCTGGAGGATTTGCTTGGTGGCCCAAGCGTTTTCGAGCCCTTCCTGCGTGACTACCTGAAGAAGTTCGCATACAAGTCGATTGTTACGGACGACTTTAAGGGAGCCTTGTACGACTATTTCAAGGATACGGACAAGAAAGATAAACTAAGCCTGGTGGACTGGGATTTGTGGCTGAAAAGCGAGGGCATGCCGCCCATTATACCCAAGTATGTAGTGCATATTTTGAGTGTGAGCATTAACATACTAATTTTATTTGATTTTAAGATTTGATGAATCCCTGTCTAATGTCACCAAGGACCTGGCCACCAAGTGGAGCACCAAGACTGTAGATGAGTTGACCAACGATGCGAACATTAAGCAGCCCATTTCTATACACCAACTTATTGAATTCTTGGGCAAACTGATTGAGAGCAAGGACATTGTTGAGCTTAATGAGCGCAAAATCGAGCTGCTGGAGAACACCTACAATTTGGGGCAATCAAAGAACGCCGAGGTGCGTTTCCGTCTCAATCGGTTGATCATACGTGCACGCCTCATCAAGCGCCTGGATGAGATTATTGAGTTTGCCAACTCAAATTTCCGCATGAAGTTCTGCCGTCCAATCTATCGGGATTTGAGCGAATGGCCAGAGGCCAAACCGGCGGCAGTAAAGAATTTTCTGAACATCAAGGATCAAATGATGGCCGTGTGCTCGCACACCATCGAAAAGGATTTGGGTTTAAAGTAGAGCACAGCATTAAAATTGAATTTTGATTGCATTTTGTGAAGTTTGACTTGAAGTCGTTTTGGTAAAAAGACTAAAAATTAAACAAAAAATCATCAGTATATATTTTCTTGGATTTTCATGAATTATTGTTTTTATTAAAAAATAAGCAAAACTACGTTTATAACAAGTTGATTTTCCATTTCCATGCTCAATTGTAGGCGACTCTTTAAATTTATTTTGCATCTCATATATTTGTTTCTTGTCTGCATTCGAATTTGCCGTAAAATTTTGTGAATTCTTTTATATATATATATATATATATATATATATATATTTGTGCAATTGGCCCAAAGCGTTTCCAATTTTTTTGTGTTTCTTCACCTTTAAATTAGGGTTATTTTCAGTAATCTTTTTTGACTAACATTAAATTTTGTACAACTAACCAAATGTTGTTCAAGTTTCGAGTCCTATGCGACAATTATACTTTATGCCATTAAACTTTATATTTTTTTTAGTTGTCGTACAATTTGTTCATCTTGGTTTAAATTCTTTAAAGTTCTGCTCGTAATTTACCTTGTTATACACACACACAGATATTAAATTTATTATTGTTTGCTTGCGTTTTCTTTTTAAAGTTCTTGACGAGTTTTGCTTCTTTGTTTAAACTAATCAACAATTTGTTTCTTTTATATTGACCCAAATGCAACCTCAACTTTTTCTATAGTTGAAATATGTAGTGGACAAAGTTCGAGTTGACTTTTTGTGTTCATATAAATTTCATGTCGTTGAGGAATAAAAACTATCACGCACTAGAATTATCATTGGAACGGGATGTGGATGGACCGGCACCCAGATCATCGCCTACGACGAATGTGGGACTCTGGCGGGACGTTGACGCAACCGGTTGGTAGTGATAGCCCTCGCGATAACGCTGATTGGGTTTAATGCGTGCGGTTTGTGTGTGACCCAATGTGGGACGCTGGTTAAGCTCATTGGGTCGTTTGGCTAGAAAAGAGTCGAGAGGCGAGTGAATTGTTAGTAAGTTGCTAAGTTTAGGTTTTATTCAAGTGGAAAACAATATACCATATCCACACAAGCATAAACAAAAGACAAGTTGAGGATCTAGTCGGAGGTTCCCTTGAACCCTCTTCTACCAACACCAATTGCAGCACGGGCTCGTTTTCTTTAGCAGCAGTAACAAGTAAGAGGCTTTAGTCGAGAGCTCCCGACTAGGGGATACCCTCTTCTTCTCCGCGCGAAGTTATGTCGTTTTTGAACGTCATATATCCGCGCGAAGTTATGTCGTTTTGGAACGTCATATCTCCGCGCGGAGTTATGTCTTTTTGGAACGTCATATCTCCAGGCGGAGTTATGTCGTTTTGGAACGTCATATCTCCAGGCGGAGTTATGTCGTTTTGGAACGTCATATCTCCGCGCGAAGTTATGTCGTTTTGGAACGTCATATCTCCGCGCGGTGTTATGTCGTTTTGGAACATCATATCTCCGCGCGGTGTTACGTCGTTTTGGAACATCATATCTCCGCGCGAAGTTATGTCGTTTTGGAAAGTCATATCTCCGCGCGGAATTATGTCGTTTTGGAACGTCATATATCCGCGCGGAGCTATGTCGTTTTGGAACGTCATATCTCCGCGCGGAATTATGTCGTTTTGGAACGTCATATCTCCGCGCGGAGCTATTACCCGAGAGCTATTACCCGGGGTAGGTTGGAATATCAAAACTTTTTTGAATATTTTTTTGAAAATCTCGGGTAAATATAATCTGATTTTAAAATGTTATACCTTTTTGAATTCGTACGAATCCCTACTATCATACGGCATTCAAAGAAATTAAAAATTGATGGGTTGGAAAAAGTTGTTGACCAAAAAACGTTTCGTTGCTATATTCAATCTTTTTTGTTGATTTTTTTAGACTCTCTTGGCCAAGTAATCTCAGAGTCGAAGCATTCGCCAACCCATACAAGAGACCTCGCTGAGTGTGTAGTCAGAAGGCTCATGAAAAGATCCTTTAGAGACCTCCTCCAACCACGACACAGGAGAAGCCCCAGAGCCCACCGACTACCTACGTGACGGTGCAGCCTCACTCAAAGAAGGCGGCTTTGACGTTTGTCCACGATAAAGCCTGAGGAGCCAACCAGGATTTGCGAGATACCACCTAAGTTAACGGTTTTGTAATAAAAATGTATGCTATTTTTTGATTCAATACAATAAACATATATAAGTTAAAAAAACAAACTTTTTTGACAATTTTTTTTAGAACCCTCGGGTAAATATATCCTGTTTTTGAAATGTTATACCTTTTTGAATTCGTACGAATCCCTACTATCATACGGCATTCAAACAAATTAAAAGTAGCACGGTCTGTTGCGAGTTCGAGTCGTATCGACGTAACTATTTTTTTAAATTTATTTTTATTACTGCTAAAGCTGCCTTTGGTGTTGGTAGAAGAGGGTTCAGAGTATCCCCTAGTCAGAAACTTCCGCCAAGAGCTCCCAAACTCGCAGAGTTTTTTAATTTTATTTGTAATATTTAGCAAACAGCTTACCAGGTATATAAGGCTTTTGATTATAGGACGATTGTTGTTGTTGTTGGTTGTATGTGTCGGCCGCCGTTGCATTGCCATTGATTTGGCTGCTGTGCTGAAACGGCGCCAGGCTATGCCCAGTGTCTGGCTGTAGCTGTAGATCAGTGCTATTTATGGGACTCATGGGCGTCATTTCGCGATCCTCAATGAACAGCTCGCTGGCATCGTCGGGCACCTGGCGATACTGAGACCAGGGCCAGGAGGCAATGCCCGACAGCAACAGCGCCTCCAAGGCGCAAATAAAGCCAATTAGCTAAGCAAAAGAAGTTAATAATTAGTTCGGTAACTGAACAGGATTTCAGGCTTGTCACTGCTTACGCCTGTGGCTAGTAACGTGTCCTTGGAGTGCTTGGATACCCATGTATACTCGGTCGCATACAGCACCATGTGGACGAGCAGCGTGGAGCTCAAAATAAATATTAAACCAATACTCAGGTACATCCACGTATTCTGAAGTAAATATTGACCAAACATATATTTATTATAGAGGAAAATAGGGAAAAGTAAACAAAACATTAATTTCTCCAACCAGGAAAATAAAATATGAATTTTAAGTTTTTTTCTTGTAGAGATAATTTGCGACACGTACCACTTTCGTCCAATTGAATGGGAACATGAGCGCTATATGCGATATATCGAGAAAGATCATGAGGCATGTGATGAGTAGCGAGAAGAGCGCACAGAAGACCATCAGCCTCAGGCGTCCGATGAGTGGCAGTAGAAAGAGGCCGACCTGTACGGTGCCCGCGGAGCATTCGCAGGCCAGACAGACGGCGGAGGATAACTACGGGGATAATAAAAAATCGCATCATTAACTTTGCTGTGATTCAACCGGATGGGCTAGCTTACCACCAGTAGTATGCGCACAATCCCTGTAGGCGTTTTCAAGTGTTGCGGATCACAGTGTAGGGCAACGCCCCATGGCAGCGGCGTGTGTTGTTGCTGTTTGTAGTTGGCGTGCGAGTCCCAGGAGGTGCACGTGCCCAATGGCGATTCGAGTGAGAGCGAGAGCTCGCCGGCCCTGCTGCCAGCTATTTCAAAGTCCTGCTCATCGTCCAGCTGACAGCAGACCGGCTCCAGCTCCAGCTCACGTATCTCGTCCAGCAGCAGTTCTATCTCGTCCGTGCCATATAGATCAGATACAGACGGTATATAACGTTGGGGTTGTTGCATTGCCCGTTGCGGGATGTGTCCCACATCACCGTTGCGTGGCCTGGGCGTGCAAAATTGGATGCCTCCAACGGCGTTCTAGTCGCGTCTATATCTTTCGTTTCTCCACTCTCTCTCTCTCTCTCTCTCTCTCTCTCTCTCGCTCTCGTGCTCTGTATGTCACCTTCTGGAGCTGCTCACGTTCTTGCCCGTGTCTGCAATAGAAAACAAATCACTTATGTTTTTGTTGTATATATTGATAAAAGACCTCTCCGGCCGCGCCGTAGCTCATTAGTTCCCCATAGACGCATAACCATAACGGTAATTTGATATGAACTGTCACTCATACGCCGTGTGTGCCGCAACAACAAATCCCCAGAGAGATGCCAATCATTATACACTCTTTATGGACAGAGAGTTGCGCCAACTATGAACTGCCATTTGCATAAGCTGCACGGATTGGATGTCAAATTACGCTTAGAGACCAAAACTTAGCTAAAATTTTACTTAATAGTGCAAATGTAAGATTTATGTGGAATGATTCTATCTTATACAAACAGTATTTTATGTGGCTCACAACAGAAACAAGGAGGTATTTAGAATTAAGTAAGTAATGTATACCCTATACATTGTGATGAAAAATATGTAGAGCCAATTTAGATTCATTATTCGTTATAAAAAAAGGCAGGGTATTAAATATGAGTTATGACAAATAAAAATAATTTATATATAAATAAAGATTTCTCTCTTAAGCTTAAGAGGCTGAATCTTAGCTCATTCGAAAAAAAGTCTTTTGCTTTATTATTATATTTAGATTGATTCGTTTCAAATCTCGCTAGTATTTATCTTAATTACAAGTACTAAAATTCGCATTAATCTCAATTATTAAAAACTATTTAAAATATTAAGCATTTAAAGCATTTTCTTTAGAATTGAGTCATAGAAATGATCAGATTATTATCATGAAGTATTCTTAACTGCCATGCAAGAGCATTTAAACGTCAACCTCACCCATAAAGCATATATTGTTCATTTTAATTTTGTCTGATTTTTACGGTGATACGAGCTGAGCTGCTGCTGTTGTCAGTTTGGCTGCCAACTCGAAATGAAATCAAATTGATTTCCGGCCTGCCTCTGCAGCTTGCCCACAATCGACCTGCCGCCTGCGCGTATGCAAAGGCTTTTATATTTTTTATGCCACACAGCAAGGCAATTAACACAGACACAGCGGCACTTATGAGGGTGCCAGATGTGAGTGTGTGCGAGCGATGCCTGCTCGAAAGGAGCTCCTTGGAGAATTTTGGTACATTTCAGGCCCTGCCAAAAGCTGCCTGACTGCCTGGCTGGCGTCCTGGCTGCCAGTCCCCATTTCCTTGAGTTGTCATAATCAGGACACAAATGAAGGTAGCAGCTGTCATTGTTGTTGCAGCACAAGGACTTGCTGCTGCTGGCAGCAGGACAACAAACGGGCAGCTGCAGCTGGCCAATCAACCTGCGGGGAGCATGTCACAGCCAGCTAGCTGCCAGCTTGCTGCACATATGTCTTCATGCAACTGTGAGATTGACTGTGTGTGTATGTGTGTGTGCGAGAGTCGACAGGCAATGTAACCATTTGTGCTCTCGCTCGTTGTTTGAATGCGAAGTTGTTGTCGCTGTCGCTTTCGCTGCTGCTGTTGTTGCTGCTGCTGCTGCTACTAGCGCCGATGTCCTTGCTCCAGTTTGAGCGCGAGGCTGGCGCAGCTTCTCCGTCTGAGACCCCCCTCTCAGGCTGCTTATCTGTGCCTGTTATCGCTGCATATCTGCTGCGCTGAGCTGCGGCTGCTTCAAGTGCCTAATGAGTGCGCTTGGCTTTCATCACATCTTTCATTATCGTGAGCGTCATCATCGTCATCGTCATCATCATCATCATGTGGCCAACGCAGACGTGCGCTATCTATTGAGGCATCGTCCTTATAGCATTAAGCTCTTCAGCCACAGACAATGAACCCAACCCTAAGCCCGCTACCCCTTCCGCCTGGCGAGGCTTTTTGCACAATTTGAAATCAATTATGCTCATCTGCATATAAACCGACTTGCACTTGGAGCTTCCTGTCTGAGCCGCCGACTGGTGACTCCTGCCGCCATCTAGCGGAAGTGCTTCGCATGCAAATTTATTGTCAATGCTTCATTCGCTTCGACTGGCTTTGGCCAACAATTGGGCGGAGAGGTGCCGCAATTAGTGGGTCGGGAGGTGGGTTGTCACTCAGCTGGGCTTTAGCGAGGGGTTTGGGTTCGGTTGAGGTGCCAACGTTGCTACATTTCTTATTTATGAACGTGCATAGACAATGCCCGACCTGCTCCACGGCCTTTGTTTGAGTTTTGCACTCATATTACGTGTACATGGCTTTCTATGTGTGTGCGGATACGAGCATATGAGTGCGGACTACTCGAGCGTCAGCCTTTGTCGCATTCAATGGACCGAAAGTTGCACCGTAAATAACTTTTAATAGAATTTCTAATGGGCTTCAATTGGGCGTGGGGCCAAGCCAGTAAACACACGCACACACACATGTGTGTGTGTATGCGTGTGTGTGTTTTAATATCGCAATGACTTCCAAACGCATTACTCTGTCTGATAAATCATGGCTTTAGATAAGCTCCAAAGAGCAGGCATGGAATATTTGTTAAACAGGTTTTATTGATGTACTTTTCTTTTTCAATTTTATATTGGTTCTTGGTTTTTATTGAAAATGTTTAAGATTAGCTTTTCAAAGAGCTCCTTTCTAAATTGTTTTAAATGCATATGGGCAAACATTATATTTTACTCTCCTTACAAATAATTGAATATTTTGCTGTACAATACGTCGTATACGCAATATTTTATATAGCTTTCAAGTTGATTGGTTTGGGTAAGATGCAATCACACAAGTCTGGAGTTTTCAGCTTGCTTAAGCAAACTTTTTATTTTTTTTAAGTTCTTCAAGTTTCACTAAAGAGTCCATCCATATGGCTCGATAAAATCACAGGCATAATTTGAAGCCTTGACCAATATTCTGGTAGAAAATATTATTAATTTATATGCCACATAAATATCATTTCTGTTCTTAAATAATACGTGATTTTATACAGTTACCATAACTTTTGCTTATCCTAAATATGTGTCTTAAATTCAATTATTTTAGTTTCCGAATTCAAGTTTCCTTCCACCTCTCTCCTATACTATCTCTCAGATCACCAAATATTTCCTAAGCAAATTAAACAATGGCACTTATGCTAGTTCCAAGCGTTTTTAATTCAAAACTCCGTTTATGGATTCCCCTGAACTTATCATCCATGCGCCATGTGTCCAATGAGGCAGCATAATATGCTTTGGAGCATCGCGATTTATGCGGCCAGTCGGCGACTTTTGCCCCCCGAACTGCGTATAAATTGTAGCCAAAATATTGGAATTTTATTTTGTGCGACGAACGGCGAGCGGTGAGCGTCGCACGGCAAGCGGCCTGTGGCCTGTGGCATGTGGCATGTGGCCTGCAGACAACTTGACTCTCGCCCCAAATTCTCAATGGCGTCGCTCGATGCGGCTGGCGTTGAAGATGGCGTGGAGGTCACCAGCCAGGGGACGGGCTGATCGGGGGCTCGGCTTAGCTGGCAGTTGCTGTCGGATTGTCGCTGCCAGCTTATTATGCCGCCGCGTTGCTCGTTCGCCTTTTTGCGGAATTATCGATTACGAATGAATATTTCATTAGCAGACATGCAGAAGCGACAGCAGCAGCGGGCCGGCCACAAGGGTCACCAGGGAGCAGGCAAATGTCGCTGGCATGCTGCTACCTTACGCTTATGCTGACTTCATTGGCTTCCGTTTCCGGCGACTATTCCGGGTCGCACCATTTGCGACGTTCAATTAAAATGCAGCATACTTTGCAGCGCATTCTCGTTGGGCCCAACAAATGCAGCTGCCAGCTGCCAGCTGGCAACTTTAGCAGCTGTACAAACATAATGCATAATGATTTTTTCGTTTCTCCTCCTTCTTTAAACAAAATTATTCCCAGTGGGTAATTAATGCAGCACAGCAGGAGACCCTACCCAACGAGGTTAACTGCGGCCAGCCATAAGAGTGAAGCTTAGGCGTTGCTGCTGTTGAGGTTAATAGAAGTCCTTATTAGAGCTTTCCCTTTGTAGAAGAACCTTACAATTCTTTAGGGACCTTGAAGATATAAATATTCTTCCTTTCCTTTCATCCTCCAAAATGGGAAGGACTTACAGTCTTAATTCTCTCATAGCCCCTACATGAGAACACTTATGACAATAATCAGAAATGAAGTGAGCCTGGACGCATAACTCATTCGATTCGAAGTTTCGATGCCTTGTATATTCCCATCGTTCAAAGTTGTATACAGAATTTCCTGGACTATACTTATATTTCTCTCTCTTTTTCTAAAAACCCTAAAATCACATAAAAAAAAAAAATATAATAAAAAAAAATACGTTTAGCAATATATTCTTTTTTTAGATTAATGACAGCAAATTATAATAGAGGCACATTAATTCCGCATGCCTGAAATGAGCTTCGAACTGGTGAGTTGACTGGACTGGGTCTCAGCTGTTTTATATTCCTTTTGGAACGCATCAAATTATTGTATATTATAGCACAGCTGCGAGCTGTATCCACGTATACGGCCCACTGAATTTTATCGGACGCCCGAGCCGAGAGTCTCGGTACAAAGCCGGAAAGCCGAACATCCAAGGGAGAATGTGGGAATGGCGATGACGACCAATGCGAATATAACATTCCCTCACATTATACCGCCGCGAACATCGGGAATGCGCGTCCAGCGCAACAGTTACTTCTCCTAGGCGAACTACTAGGGAGAGGTGACAACATGCATGGGATCGTTATGCCAGGCGTAAAGTAATATAATGTCTATGTTAAATGTTTCTTAAAATTGACTGTGGCATATTTTTTTTTTCGTATATAATATAACATATAATGTAAAATCAAACGTGCCCAGCTTAACCATTATTCCCAGAAAATCGGGGAAACGTTAAACATAATTTCATTTGATTCCCTCACAAGGAACCAAACAATCTGTATGCAGAGTGTGTATAATTAATGTAATTTATGAATTTATAGCTACTTGGCGATTAAGAGGCTCTCAAATATATATGTGTAGCCAAGGGAATAGCTCCTGACAGATCTATTAGGGACTCATTAGGCTCGCGCCTTCGCACGCACTCATCACAACTGCTGCCAACGCTTGTTAATTCCCGAAAAAGGTGCTTAGAAATAATTATAGGCAGCTTTCAGGCGCAGCTGACGCTGCTTACGTAAGCTCTCCTAACGGGATATTTAGCGAGCTTGTGTGTGTGTGGTTTATGCATATCATTGCTTTATGTGTTTATGCCGCCTCACTGAAATGAACACCTCAGTTGCTGTTGTCCCCGGCCCGGCCCCGGTTGCGCCCCCTTCTTCCTGACGCCCTCAGCGGACGGCATGAACTCACCTGACACGTGAGCTCCACAAAGGAGGCCTCGACATGTCATGGACGCAAACGCCGCGACACGCAAGTCCCAACGTCCCAGAGCAGCCAGTCGTCGCCGTCACCCGTTGCCACGTTTTCACTTTTGTTGCAAATCTTCGCTTGGCTTTTGTTTTACGCCACATAAATACGGGCATTAAATGAGAACTGTCGACGTGGCTGCGGGATTCCAAATTGAGCCCAATCCGGCTGACCGAGACGAACGGGCCAAGCTGCGTGCCAGTTTCTCGACTCGCTGCGACCCAAGTTGCCCCCCCCCCCCCCCCCCCCCCCCCCCACAAGCCTTTCTCCAGGCCTAGGCCAAGTGTGCGACCCCCAAGCGGGCGGTGCAATAACCTCGTTTAGCTATTTGATTACTGCATGTGCCTCGGGCGACCTTGAACCACTTTCATTTCTAATTTTGGTTATGCCCAAGTGCTAGACGACGCGCAACTTGGAATAACTTTGGATGTCAGCGTATGTACCAAGTGCCCGTATTAATAATGGCCAAAGCCTAACTGCAACTTAATTGCACACACAAGTGGGTATACAAACGGTGTGTGTGTGTGGGTGTGTTAGTGTATGTGGGTGGGTGTGTGTAGCTACTATGACAGCAACTAAAAATAAACAAATGAGCCAAGCGCCCAAAAGCTGTAATACGAGCAGAAGAAGAGCTTGAGAGAGCGCCAGAGCCAAGAGCTGAGCGCTGCGAACCAAGAGCGGAACGAAATGAGCGACTGCGTAGAGAGCGAACAAGAGCGAGAGAGCGAGCAAATGAACTGGCAGCAGAGCGGCAGAGGCTGAGGCAGCGGCAGCAGCAGCAGCAGCAGAGCCAGCAGCAGCAGCATAGTAAGCTGGCACAGCGCAAAATGAGAGAATGAGAGAGAGAGAGCGATAGAGTGAGAGCGCGTGAGTGAGTAGAATTGAGTGTGAGTTGTTGTTGGGCAATGGATTTCAAGGAAGTGAAATTGCTGCAGACAGGAGTTTGCCTAAGCACGCCTGGTCGCCCCGCCAGCCCATAGCCGCCTGTCACTTCCTCTATGTGTGTGAGAGTGTTTATGTGTTTGTGTGAGTATTTTGTTTGTTAGAAAACACGTTGGGCTGGTCTATGTACAACAGCCAGCTAGCGCTCCCCGCTCACCCGCTTCCCCTGCAGCAACGCCATCAACTCATGCTCAGCGGCTCCACTTAAAAGTGTTATATTGACATTTGGCTACAATTTGAGCTGTCCAAAGCTTTATGATTTATGCTGCGCTGCATATGTAAATATATGTGTATGTGTACTAGCATGTGTGCGTGTGCATGTTCATGTATTGTGTGTGTGTGTGTGTGCTGTAATCGTTGCTCTATTTTTGGGCTTAGTTGGACAACAACAGCGCGCTGCAAAGCGTGCTATGAATTTTGTTGTGAGCGGCCACATTTCGTGTATACAACTAGTTAAATAAAAAAAATTTAGTTTTGCACTTGACCCACCTTCTTTTATTTTTGGATTTCTTATTTTGGTTTTGTGAAATTTATTTGCAGCTGCTGCTGATTTTCTCGTGGCAAATGCGCGGCACGTTCCGGGGAAGTTTCTATTTCGATTTCTATTACTTTGACAAGGGCACGCAGAAATCTACGAAAATGGCCTTTTTATATGCTTTTCAATGTTGTGTGTGTGTGTGTGCGACTATGTGTGGCTCTGATTGTATTTGCGGGTGTGCGCCTGTGTGTGTGTGTGTGTGAATGTGTGGGCTTTTCTGGCTATGCTCTTCAAGTTTTATGTCAGTTCATTCATCGGCCAAAATGTTGGGCACAGGACGCAGGCTGTTGTCGCCTCTGCATTTGTGTGTTATACATTTGTATGTGTGTGCGCGCGCGTGTGTGTGTGTGCGTGTGTGTGAGTGTGTGCTGCGTGCACCTGCCAATGTCAGATTTGTATTTTAGCGTCGATTTCGTCTTGGCTGCCTGCATATTTTCCTCTCTATGATTTGATTTCGTTGGTTTATTAATATACTTATTATTTGTTGTCACTTCACACATTTAATTATTGGACTTTCCTTGGGATTTTTCGGCAGATGTTCACACATTTTGAAATTGATGATAGATTTTTGGCGAAAATTCAATTTGCATTTTTCATTCCATTTGTTATTTGCACACCGCACGCAGCGGGCACACAAAAATCATTATTCAGTGCGCCCGAAAGTATGCAACGTTTTTTGTGCTGTCTTTTCGGGCCATGCTGCTGCTTTCAACATTTGCCCACACACACACACGTGCACATATAGACGCACTCACGGACACTGGCTGTGGCACGGAGGCACAGAGATAGGCTAGGCAGACACACGCGTTCGCGGCACGTTGCTGCGAGCTGAGCGTGCGGGGCGGGCTGCTCGTAAACGGGGGGCGTGTGAAGGCGACGTGCAACGCAAACTAGCAGCAGCAGCAGCAGCAGCAGCAACAGCAACAACAGCAATAACAACAGCAACAACAACAGTAGCAGCAACGACCACGGGCAGCGATATAGCCTAAAATCAGGCGGTCACAAAAACGACGACGACCGACAACGTTGAACGACAGCAAAAGACTGAGAGCCAAGTGCTGCTGAGACCCAGCTGCTCAGGCAAGGAGAACCAGAGCAGAGAAAGAGAGAGACTTTAGGCCAGAGAGGAAGTCTGCAAATCCTGTGCAGACTTTCACTGATTCCGGAACTGGTTCTTCGCTCGCCACATGTGTAACAATTTGACAACTAATAATGATGTTAATAATTAAGTTTCCAATTTATCTTGTTTTGCTAGACATATCCGACCACATGTTATCTATATACTAATACATAAGTTGTATAAATAAGCAGGATTTGTACGAAGTTTTCACAGCTTTCTTTCTTTAGTTTTTCCGAAAATATAAGCTTTACATTATGTATCCCAAAAGTTTCTAATTCATCTATTTACTATAGATATACTTTTAATCAAATATAGGTAGTTCATTTAATGCTATATCTTAGATCCTTTAGAGATCGTGACCTTTTTTTATTGCATAAATAATTTTCACTATGGAGTGCCTTGAACTTAATACTCCATTGATTTCCATAAACATAATATTATTTCGATTTACTACGTGCGAGCTGCCAGACTTACAAGTTTCGATTGAAAAATATTCTGAAATAATACGAGTCGGGCTGGAAGAGAGATTTGGAGACTCTCGAAAATGGATGCTTACAGCAAGTACTTGGATGATGAACAATTTAACACCAACCAAGGCAGCACTCAGACTGAGTCGGTAGGCAAATGCTGCAATAACTAAAACTAACCTCGACTTCTAATGCCCATAATCCAATACAGAATGCGCCCATCCACAGTCATCCGACTGTGCTTAGGCAGAGACTGCAATTTAATAACTCTTCGTCCTCGAACCCAAGAGTGTCCATGCGCTGCAAGAAAATGCGTCAAGAGAAGTCGAAAACACAGCCTCGGCCCAAGGAAGTCATCCAGAAAGCCACCCAGACTTGCCACAGTCAGCCGCCGCTGGAGCCGCACTCGAGGAAAATCCGTCCGCCGAAGCAGCCGCAGCAGCAGCAGCAGCAGAACTTCCGACAGACTGAAACTCAAGTGCATCGATGTCCGAACAGGGCGACACGTCAGGCGGATGCTCCGTCCTTCCGGATGGGACTGAGCTACATTCAGCCGAAGTCCCTGTTTAATGTGGATTATGCACCGCAATCGCGACGTGCGCTTCGTCTGCCCCCCTTGCCGCCCACCAACAAGGCATCTACGCTAGATCGAGACGGCGCGGGCGGGGATCGGTTGCTGTATAGAAATTCGAATTTTGGCAAGGAGTCCAGTCGCGGCCGCAGCGAGAATAGCGAGGATCCGCTCTTCAATCCGACCGAGGTCAAGGAATCATCTTCAATGCTGCAATCGGCAAGGGAGCGTTGCAGAAAGACAAAGGCGCATTTCAATGCCAAATATGCGGATAAGAATGAGCCGGGCACGGACAGCGATTCGGCGAATTCGTTGAAGACCGTAATTACTACCAAAAGTGGTGAGAATTTGCGCACCGTGGTGCGTTCACAGATCGAGATGCAGGAGCTGTTGCATCAATCGATTAATAAAATGACGGAAATGACCGACAGACTGGTGCTGAGTACCAACTCCAGGCTAATATTGCCATCGCTGGGCTTGTCGGGCGAGTCCGAGTGCAGCCTGATCCAACAAAAGACGTCAAACCCCTCCAAATCGCCCGCAAATCCGCAAAAGGATGTTAGGGTCTCTGCCGGCTTGGTGCCAGGAGCCAAGTCCGAGAATCCTCTTTGTCTCGAGGAGCTAGTCAGTACCAAGGTGATTGCGCCTATGATGCGCCGTGTACAGCGCATGTATTTAAACAATCTACAGGAGGAAATGAAACTGATGGAGGAGCTGGAGCGTGTGCCATGTCAGGTTAGCGACTTGTACAAATCTGCCGATGTGCCACCGGGGCTAAGCAAACAGCTGAAATAATTTATTTCACTTTCATTTTATTGTTATATATATTTTTTAATCATATGCTCACTGGAAATAATAAACACCAAAACACTAATATGATTGGTTTGATAATTCAAATTAGGCGCAACATAAACGGATCAGTGTGACCAACTATGGCAAATGCCTTAAATGCATTGGATAAGCGGCGTCGATACTTCTTATTAGTTCAGTGTGCACTGTTATCGTATATCGAAGGGATGCACTGTCAATCGCTGCTCTCTGTATAGCTATCTGTTAGCCACAACAAAAAAAAATTGTTAAAATTGTTAAGCCTGCCCAATTGAATTTTTTCTAAAAGGGCGCATACTGTTAATAACATTGTTGTCGAATGTTAATGTTATTATAATCTCGCGTAGCCCTGGTTTCAAAAGGAAGGGGGCGCTCGCATTCCCAAACATTGATTTTTCGTGGTGGACGCCAGTGAATGCTGCCAAATTAGCTACGTTGGGTCACTTGTTATAAAACTGCAGGAATTTCAGGGTTATAAAATGAGCGGTAAGCAAATGTGCTCAGCAGGTCATCTGACAAACAATATTTCACCTGCTTCGGCTGCTGCCGCTGTCGGCGTTGGCTGTGGTGTCCGTCTGGCTGGCGTGCATTGCAATTCGCAGCCTACTTTGAGGGTGGGTGGGCAGCCGATGGAACCACCCCCAACAGCTGCCCATGTGTGGCATTGCACAGACGATGACTTCATCACTGTTTACACGCATCCTCTCATGTTCCCCTCTCCTCTCGCAGGCGACGAGAGCTGCAGCGAAAAGCAGACGCTTAATCTGTCCAAGAAGCAGCTGAAGAAGGTGCCAAAACAGGACGATGCCCAGAATATACGCAAGCTAATACTGGACGAGAACGAGCTGCAGAAGATTGACAACATTGACTCATATCTGAAGATCGAGACGGTGCCTATATATAGCCCATATTAAAAGGCTGATCCTGCTATCATTAATTGATTCCTCAATTGTCCTTTGCAGCTGTCGCTGAGCAAAAACCAATTGCTGCGCATGTTTGGCGTCTGTCGGCTGCACTGTCTGCGCGAGCTGAACCTCTCCTTTAATGGCATACTGTCCATTGAGGGCCTAAAGGAATGCGTGCATCTGCGCGTGCTTAATCTGGAGGGCAATAACATTAAGACCATTGAGCATCTCAATACCAATGTGAACCTGGAGTGCCTCAACCTGGCGGACAATCGCATAGGCAGCATCTCGGATGTATCCTATTTGCGCTCCCTGCGTGAACTCAACTTGCAGGGCAATCGATTGACCCATCTGCGCCAGTGCGACAAATATTTGCCGGTCTCCCTGGAGACATTAACGCTGGCCAAGAACAACATTAACGATCTTAATGAGATTTGCACGCTGTCGCATCTGTGCAATTTGCAAAGCATTACTCTCTCGGAGAATCCCTGTGTGAACATGACGATGGGACCGAACAGCAGGGAGTAAGTAGGAGTTGCACTTGGTTTGGGTCTGCTCTCACATGGATTTTATTTTACTTCGCAGCGGCTTTGATTACCGGCCCTTTGTGCTAAACTGGTGCATGAGCCTCAAGTTCATTGATGGCTATGTGGTGGATCCCATTGAGAGCCTCAAGGCGGAGTGGCTATATAGCCAGGGACGTGGTCGCCAGTTTCGCGTTGGCGAGCAGTCGGAGCTGGCCAAATACTTAAGCCCCATCTGTCCGCTGGTGGGCAAGGCTTTGGAGAACGAAAACGATCGCAAGCTGCGTCTGATATTAAGCAAGGCGCAGCACCATCAGCGGCAGCTGCAAGAGGAAATCATGGATAATGCAAACAGTTCGGCCAGCACATCGCCGTCCTCGCATCGCAAGAAACCAACGAGCCGCATTCAGTCGCCGCGCTGTAAGCTCTGCCATGATGTCCCATTGTTGCTTCATCAATGTTCAATTATTGTGTACTCCCGACAGTTTCGCGTCTGAGCGGTCGGCAGGGCTCGCCGGAGTCCATGGTGAACAGCTACCATGGCAATAGCTGCAACAACAGCATCAGCAGCGACAATGGCATCTCAAATCATGCGCTGCAAATGAGCACCTCGCTGATTGAGAATATTCGGAACGATGGCGATAATTTCTCGTTGGCCAGCATGTCCGGCCTATCCAGCAGCGTGACCACCAAAACCTACAACTCGACGGAGTCAACACCTCGCAACATAACGCCAAATCCCTACAACGGTACGTAAGATAGTTCTAAAACCCAAGCCTTAGCCTTAATTCCTTCATCATTTTGCTTGTGCAGAACAAACGTTTATTGGGCAAACGCCTGTGGGCGGACCCTTGGCTGCTGCCTCAAAAATGGTGCCTGTGCCGGAAACGCTAATGAGTCCCGATGTGTGTCCCGCCGCCGTCGCCCAGCGGGCAACAGTCACGGCCCTCAACACGCAGATGCACAAAACCAAAGGCAACAAGAACAAAGGTAGTCAAGCAAGCTTTCTAAATCCAATGTGTCGAAATTAATATACTAATGTTGAATCACATTTTAATGTACTCAATGCCAGATAACAAACTAAATTTGCCGCGCGTTCGCAGTCCACAGCTGCGACGCATGCAGAGCCCCACGAGCAGTCCCCGCAAGGCGGAACGAATACAGCAGCAGCAGCAGCATCAGCAACAGCAGCTCCAGATGAATGCCACATCGGTCAGTACAACAGATGCTGGCGGCTGCAGCACGGACGACGACGGCGATCAGATCAACATTGAGAAGCTAAAAACTATACGTAAAATGGCTGCGGAGCGTGCGCAGCAGCAGCAGCAACAGCAGCTGGACAACAATAATCTGAACTGCACAGATCGTCTGATAGAGCATGTCACTGAATCCTCCGCGGTGACCATACAGAAGATGTGGCGCGGCTATCATACGCGCAAGAAAACCAAAGATATTGCCGAGAAGCTACACAAACAGCGCACACACGAGTACATTGAGTAAGTGCAGCCTCTCGGCCAACAGGCTCTTGCCTTATATGTATATATTCTCATATATTATCTCTCACAACAGTAAACTCAACAAGGACATGCTGCTGACCAAGGCACAGCTGCAGAACGAGCGCAAAATCCAACAGCTGCAGATGCAGGCCATCAATGCGCTGTGGAAAAAAGTGTCCACCATGCAAGTGGATCCCAGGGCTGGCGGCGAGCATGGCGCCAATAGCAGCGCTTGCACAAATGCGGAGGATGCTGGTGGCAGCAGCAGCAACAACAACACGAATCAGGGACAACTGTGCCTGGATCAGAACTCGGCAGCCGTTGTAAATGATTTGGCCAAGCGTTGCACAATGCTTACGGATCAGGTGCAGCAGCTGCAGAGCTCGATTGGCACCATTGTCAATTGCCTGACCATGGTCTGCAATTTGCCACAGGATGCGCTCAAGAAGCACATCAGCTGCTCGGATGGCGAGGAGGTCGAATACACTAGCTTTGAGCCGCGTGACAGCAGCTCCACTCAGACGGATCTGATTGCCGTGCATACGCCACAATTTGAAGATTTGAGCAATTTTCCCTTTACGAAAGCCAGGCCATCTACTTTGGCGCTTGCAGAGTCCAAGCACGATGCACTGCATGCGGGAAAATTGACAGCGGAGCAGGAACAACAAGAGCATCAGCAGCAGCCACCACTGGGCGAGACTCAAGAGGAGGAGCACAAGGAAAACATCGAGATCTGTGATGCACAGGAGTAGGATTTGCTAAGCCAAGCCCACTTATTGCTTTATCTAGGCACTATTATAAGCAAATCTCAGCGCGCAAAAAACGTGTAGGCTTTTCTTAGCTTTTGAATAAGTGGACGCAGCCGCAGCAGCAACAAACAATTAACGCGCTTAACTTGTGTAGTTTTTTTTGGGTTTATGTATGTCGTAAACACACACACACGATTTTCTGTTAAAACAATTGGCGAGGAAAAACAATTCGTTACAAAATATACATAGCTAAACTTTTTGTAATGCACAATCACAAATGCACTGCAATCTCAGTCTTCAGCGCTGCTCTCGTCGGTATCCGTATCCGTCTCCTCGTCCTCATCGTTTTGTACATTGACAGGACGATTTGTGTTGGGCGGCAGGGAATCATCTGTATCGGAATCTGAATGATCGGCGGCAGCGTCAGCTTGACTTTGCGACGCCTGCGCCGATTTCTTGGCAAAACGTTGCGGCCAAATGCCCGCCTTTGTGTATTCCTTGACATGCTCAGGTGTTAGTATCTTGCAGATTTCCGCTTTGACTTTGTCGCCCTCGGCAATGGGCTCGACCAGTACGTAGTCGCCGCGCTTGACCCACACATTCTTGCGGAACTTGTTGGGCATGGATACTGCAACAGATAAGTTCTTACCTGTTGGTTATCAATATCAACAGAGACTGCGCTTCACATCGTGCTCACCCAGAAAGTTATCAGACGCCAGTCCCGCTGGCACGACCTCGTGCAGATTGTTGCCGCGACTGCTGACCACACACACGATCTGCTGCCGCTCCGTGGGCAGCGAATAGTCATCCTCCATCATCTCCTTGAGCACATGCTTGCGACGCGTTGTATTTGGATGCGACATGCTCTTGTTAAAGCCGAGATTGTTGTCTTACGAGGCGCCAGTTTTGAGGCCAATTATTTGTTTACTCAAAATGGTCAGCCGATTAATTGTGTGGTGGTCGCCCGATAGCTCCAATTTAGATAATCAATGAAATAGTGTTAAAGTGTAGTGTTGCGAAATGTGTTGTAAATTTAGCACTAGTATTTTTGTATTTTTTTTTTTTGTTGTACAATTTCAAAGTGAAATGTTTTTGAGTAATTTTGAATGGTGCGAGCATATTTTTGATTTTTATTGTTAAGCTTAAATGCAACTTTACGACTAAATTTTGGACTAAGAACTAGTTTTTGCTGCGTCGCACGCGCGCCTTGCACGAAATTCGATCCTTAGTGGAGCTATCGCGGCGAGTTTCCACCGCCAATTGCTTCGGTTTTTTTATTCTAGAAAAAGAAAAACCAAAGAAAAAAGACCAAAAACCGTTAGAAAGCTGAGCTTGATTTTGTTTGAGTAAGTTACTTACATTTCGTTTCTCATAATTGTAAATTCCTTTTTCCAAATGTCTTTAAAATCGTTTGTGAAATTTGTCCAATAACCAAAGAACTGATCGGGCGTGCACTGAGCCAAGGTCAGGGTGCAGCCCTTCGGGGAGAAGTGATAGAAGCGCATCGTCTCCAGAAAGAGATCCCGGCACTCATCGATCAGCTGATGCAGCTTGGCCACCGATTTCTCTGCACTAGCGGTAAATTCCTCCATCTTGGATTTGAAGGGCTCGCGATGTTCACTGGAGGCGCTTAGCACCAAAGCCGTAGTCTGTTTACAAGCTGCAGGGATTAGTATGAGGATTAGTGAGGATTAGTATGAGGATTAGTATCTATGAGATGCATTCCAAGCATTTTGCAACTTACCCGTAAGCTTTCTGTTCAGCTCCTTAATCTGCTGCTGGACCTCGTCGAAGTCCAGCTGGGCGGCTCGCTCCACATCCGAGGGCTCCGGAATGGGCAGTGTCATCTCGGGCAGCGTCATCTCTTTGCGGCGCTGCGCTATATAGGTGCGCACGATGAAGTGCAGCAGCGTTGTGTGCGACTCCTTGGACTTGACGTCTTTCAGCTTGCCCAGTATGTCCAGATTGAAGCCATCCGCCTGGCCGCGCTGCCGATTGCCGCCGTTCATGTAGTTGCCCAGCGTCAATATAATGGAGAATACCAGCTTGAGGTCCTCGCTCTCGATGAGCTGCTGCGACAGCTGCGATACCGTCTCCAGCTTGCGCACCAGCAGCGTCACAGACTCCTCAAACTCGGCCTGGAAGACAATGCAGGAGATGCGCTCACTAGCCATCGAGATGAGCGATATGTCACGCAGGAATTGCTCGGGATGATCGAGCGGTATGTCGCCGCCATCGGCCTCCCTGATGCGCTGCAGTTCCTCATCGGTTGCGCGCATATAGCTGATCTGTTGCAGCGTCTCGAGACTGATAACCGAGGTGTCCACATGGTAAATGGCATGCTCGATTTCGCTGGCGGGCATATGCAAGCTGCGGGAGAAGATGCCTACATTGCGGGAACGTTTCGGATCCAGCACCTTGATGGACTTCTCACGCTTCGGCTTGAGTTCCTTGGGCTTGGTAACCGGCGCAATGGCCTGGCGAGAAAAGAGCTCGGTAAATTCATCAATATTGTCGAGCGGCGTCTCATCAATCTCTGTCCACATCTCCTTGCTGGGTGCGGCTGGCACAGGCGCCGCCATCGGCACAGCGGACGCGTTGCCAGTCGCGGGCAGCTCCTCTGGCGAGCTGCCGCTGTTGTCCGCGCTGTCCGTTGAGTTGGCGATCGAAGGTGGACGCGGCACGGGCGGACCACAGGTCACAATGCGCGTCCAGTAGAGCGGGCGCATGGGCTTCGGCGGATTGACGGCGCTCTTGCGTTGAACTGGAAAGAAATAAAGCAACATATGAGTCAAAGGCTTCGGTTAAACCTGAATACCCTTCCACTTACCGCTTGTGCGCAGGAACCAATTTCCCTCGGCGGGATCTGGCAGTGGCGCCGGCGCCAGAGCTGTGCCCGACTTGGAGGTGCTTAGTGGCGGCGGCGGCGGCGGCCCATTGCCAGCATTGGCAGGCCCCGGTGGCGGCGGTGGCGGTGGTCCACCGCCTGGTGGTGGCGGCGGCGGCGGCGGTGGTGCTGCTGCAGCTGTCATGCCCGGCGGCGGTGGTGGTGGCGGCGGCGGTGGCGGAGGTGGTGGAGGCGGTGCAATTACCGGTGCAGCTTCCGGTGCCTTTGGCTCCATTGCGACACCGTTTTGTTGACTCTGCTCGAGCTGTGGCTCCGGCACACCATTAGCTGCACCACACTGGCAGGAGCCGAGGCATTGCTCGTCCGTCTGGCTGGCCGCATCCGCATAGCTCTTGCCCTCTATGGGCTTGTTGTACTCGTAGATGGTCGCCTCGCTGGCGTTGAGCAGCTCGGTGAGATTGATGCAGCGCTTCGATGGCCGCCTGGGCGGCTCGTCCACACTGCTGAGCAGCTCGTTGACCACGGCGTGCACCTCGGCCAGTGTGGCGCAGTTGAGCAGACGCTTGCGCAAGATCTGCTGCAGCGTCTTCTGGCTATCCGTTTGCGTGGAGCTGCCCTCGTAGTGCTTCTGAGCCGCCGACGGAGTGCTGGAGAACGGCCAGGCGGCCACCTTGTCCAGCTTGCCGGGCGTAAGCGGCAGCGAGGTAGTTGGCTGCTCCGTGTGCGTCCACTGGTACATCTCGTAGGGCTGTGGGTTAAACGAAAAAAACAAAAGAGATCAAGCTTTATTGGCCCATTGCTAATTGCAGCTGGAGTGCATCCCGTTCACAGTTGGTCTCAAGTGTGTCAAGCGACAGAGCTTAAAAGCCATCCGCTCTCCAAGCCCTACCCCCTTCCTTCCCAGCTGTCATCCCTTGCCCAGCAAAGTGTTGAACTCTAAAGCTCAGCTCTTCAAATTGTGCACACGTCATTGTTGTGCATCCCTCCTCCCTTCCCCCTGGAGGAGAGCTTGGGGAATATATGTTGACTGTTTTTATACCTTTTCAGAATGGGGTTAGAATAACTAAGAAATGCAGTTCGTTTGGCTGTTTTCTTGGCCGTTAACATCAGGCGCACCAGTCATGTGGCTGGCAAATATTTATCCTGCTGACAAATTATGTGATCAACTCTTGTTTAGCTCTTTTCGATTTTCAAGCAGATTATACGTTGTATGCTTTCTTTAAACTTATTGTTGTTTATTTTTAGGCTCTTCAAATATGTAAATTCGTTTTTCATGACCTGCTTTGCATGTGAACAAATAATTTACGAAAAGTTCAAGCTTTTAAAATTGTAAGAAATTATCTATGAAGTTAACTATAGAGTACATTATAGAAGATACTTTTTGAAATTTATTTCTTCTAATAAATACAATTTTAATATTGAAATGTATTTTTTTATTTATCGAACACTTCATAGCTTTATGTAGAAGGGATAAAAGAGTTCCTGACAATAGTAAAATTTGTATATTTTAAAATTTAATTTATTGCCAACTTCATAGAGTATTTAGTGTTCGGATTTGCCAGACTTTTTTGCTGCATTCCCTGTTTTTATTGTTGCACTTTTTGCTGCTTACCTATTTGGCGTTGTCATGCGTGAGATTCGGTCGGGTTTTAGCTTGAGATTAGGATGCTTGCCAGCAGCATGCCTGAGAGTTCTCGAAAGGGATGAGAGGAGCGCGGTTGGGCTTGGATGGGGCTCTTTGGGTTTGCTCGAATTGCGACAGCATGCAAATTGTTGGCACCGCCAAAGTGCAAACACTTGAGCAAATGGCGTCAAGTGCGATAACGTGACCACGCCCCCGCAAACACACACTGGCACACACACCCACACACACACATACCTAGGTACACTCAGCCCTTAGAGCATCTGAGTGCAGCTGTTGCACTTCACTTGCATTCAACATCCCAGCGGATGCCCCAACTCATCAGCTCGGAATGATTAGCGGCGGGTGTGCGAGTGTGTATGTGTGTGTGTAATTGAATTTCAATTTTTAATTGCATTTCGTGGTGTTAAGCCAAGTGGTTGGAGAGCTATTGGGCCACAGTTCGTATTATTAATTAGTAGATCTTCTTGAATGAACATATTTTGAAATAACTATTGGTTTAAGCTATAAAATTAAGTAAAAGAAGAACTGCATGGAAAAATTGAATAATTATTTACATAAAAAAAAAACTAGGTTGAGAATAATAATGATTTAAAAATAATAAATCTATACTATTAGATCAATGAACTGTTTCAGGCTGTGCGTCGGACTGACAAGTGGCAGGTCGCTGGTTCAAATGCAGTCTATATCAAGCTTGAAAATACATTTACACATGCCAAACGTTTTTCCATATTTAATATACTATTATTAAGTCAAGCCTAGATCTCAATATTAGAAACAAATATTGAGTCTTCAGACCAGAAATGGAACCAAAGACAGCTTTTGAACAAAACATAAAATATGAAAAATAAATGAAAATAAATTAAAGGTAGATCATTTTTATAGGAAATTTTGCTGCTATGCTAACACATGAAATAGCTCATTCAAATGAAATTAGTTTTCTAATCAGAAATCAAATTAAGTTGCTCTCCCTCAAGCTGGCCACGTTAATACCCTGTAATTCAAACGATTTACGTTTCGCTGCGCTTAAAAACCCCGTTGGGTTAGCTCAAAGTTATATCCCTGCTGCATGCCACTTGGCGTTGCGCGGCGTGTGCACACAAAAGAATAATAAACGCTGGAACTTGCCGCAAAGTAATAAAAACGCACAAAACTTTCAATGGGAGCTGCAACAACAACTGACAGAGAGGAGGGGAGGTGAGGCGAGGGGAGCAAAAGAAATCAAGCTTAAGCCAAAAGCTGTTTCTGGCCTGTTGCCCAAAAACTTGATGACGCGCACATTGACAACGGGAGACAAGAGGACACCAGGACATGGGGACACGGGGAGACCAGGACACGTTGCCACGCAGGACATGAGCCAAGGAGTCAAGGCGAGGCGAGGCGAGTCGAGGAACGAACAAAATTTGTGATATCATAATCTGTAGAGCTCAAGTATCATCACATAGAAAATCACTTAACGCTGTTGTCTGCTCGTTTTTGGCGCCGCATTTCCCTTCACCCATCCACCCCCACCCGCACCCCTCTCTCCTGAAGGGATTTGCTCGAAGGGATTTTGAGGTTAAGCTGCTGTGGCTAAAACTTTTGGCCTAAACTAATTTGGGCCCACAGACGAGTGCTTGATTATTTGTTAGTCCTGTTGTTGTTCTTCTATCTTTTTTTTTGACATTTCTTCAGGCCAATAACACTTAACGTTAACTATCAGGTAAGAGCCTAGGCCGGGAGGTGGGCTGGGGCTGGCGTTACATCGGCCTGAGCCGGGGTTAACCGGCAATTAAAGCTGGCAAAAGTGTACCGAGATTTTTATTTAGCTAGCCAAGCGAAGCGTTGCCAAAAAAGCAAACGTATTACATAGTCCATTAGTCAGCCGCACGCTGAGAGTCAAACAAACAGCTGCAGTTGCCTGACGCCCACCTTCCGCCCCCAGCCCCTTCTCCCCCATGACTAGGCGGGGGGGCAGTCAACTCTTTTGGTTTCATAATTTAGCAAGGCAAAAATAAAAAGAGAGTTTAAATGTTGCAGTCGGCTGCTAAAGACTGCGTGATACTCATCAAAGTTGCAGCTATCTCTTTTCCTTTCTTTATAGACTTTCCGATATGCTCAGCATTAATCTTTCATTGCCTATTCAAAAGTGCACAAGATATGTCTTACCGATATGCCACGCCCCTATTGGTCCTATTTTGTGATGGAAGAAGCTCTCTCAAAGAAGCTCAGCCTTGGTCTTCTATTCCCTATTTGATTGCCAAAGCTCTAAATACTTTGTTTAATGCGGCCATAGGGTATGTAAAATAATAGTAAGTATTCTATTTACAAGTCTCTAAAGCTCAGTCGAAGATAATAGATTTGATGACTCCCAAAATGTAACGCCAAAGCATTTCAAAACTGTGGCAAAACTAATTTTGACTTTCAGAATTTATGGGCGTGGTTGGAGTTTGGCTCGATTTGAAGAGCAGCTCATACGTGATCTATCTACCTCTTAACTGTGATAGACAGCAAGTTTTTTGGTTTGCCAGCCCGCTGGTGGGCGTGGTCCGCAAAATTAAGACGTTATGCGATGCATATACTCGTGTATATATTCAAGTCAAAGGTCCTTAGCTTGCATTGGAGCAATCAAAAAATGCATAGGCATCAATATACCCCTTTCACTTTGAGAACAGAGTATAAAAAGGCTGTTGGCCACATTCAGTGGGCAGTTCGAGAGAGGAAGAGTAAGAGCTAGAGCAAGAGAGAGAGATTGAGCTCTGCAAAGTTGACGGCAAAGTTTTAACAAGTTCTGACACTTGCAGGCTCGTCAGCTGCAGGATATGGCAGCGAGGAGGGGGGAAACTAACACAAGGGGTTGGAGGTGGGTGCAGCTGATGCAGCTGACATGTACAGCAGCTAGGCTAAAATGAAAGTGCATTGCGATTTGCCCTGGCAATGGAATTGCTAATTTCCGGGCACAACTTTGCGGTTCATTTTTAAGCATAGAATGTGGCCATAATATGCAGTCGGAGGAGGAGAGGAGGGGAGGATGGCGGAGGGGGGGGGGGGGCGTTAGGTGAAGTTAGCATAACTTGAGCTGCAGCCCGTAGCTTATCAATAGCTAATGACTTGGACAAAGTTAGTTACATAGGGCGAGTGCGAGGTTTGGGGGGCGTGGCACTCTATTTCCGGCAGCACCGTGACAACTTCCGCTCCCTGACCAATTTCCCGTTAGACAGAAGAGTGCATTGAACTTACGCTAAAACCGGACGGCGCATCCTGCTGCTGCTGCTGCTCATTGGAGATCTGCTTGAGTACGCCCACATATTTGAGATTATGACAGAACTGCAGGGCCATTGCATTCAATGATTCCGGCCCAATAATGCCCAGCGTCGAGCTGCTCTGCAGCGTTGAGATTAGCCATTTGATCAGCATTTGACCTGCGAATCGAGAGATCAAAAAAATTAGCTTATAATGTAGAAAATATAAAAACCAATTGAATATTAATTATTATTACTATTGAAATTTCCACCTCCAAGCGTGAAAGATGGATGGAAATCGATTAAACTATTTTTTTTAACTGAAACTGAAACTGATTTCAATGCGCATGTCATAGATCCTACAAAAATAGGCCGATGGAATTTTAGGAAAGACTCCGGTTCGGGTCAATGCCGCGTATTACCCTCGGCTTGGGGTAAACTTTGCCCACAGCTGCGGCTCGAAGCCCAAGTTGAACCCACATACGCGCGGACACAATGATTTATGTGTGTGTGTGTATGTGTGTGTGTTGTTGTGTGCGTAAGCAGAAAAAGTCAATATGAAAGGCAACAATATATTTTTGGGTGGTTGGGGTGTAGACGTGTTGGCTACCAAAACATTAGGCATAAATAAATTTAAGTGTTGTCCAAAGAAGTTCACAAAGAAACAGCAAACAAAAAATAATAAAAGTGCAGCAACGAAGATAAGATACTCTACATGAGCGATTACTCAACAGTTATATCGAAAACAAAAAAGCATTTGATGTGTGACAATCGACTTGAATGAAAGCATTTCCAAGCAAATAGATAAAGGTAGAAATATCTGATATGCTATCAATATTATGGAATTGGATCTTCTGATTATTTTATAAAGAAATATTAAAAATAGATCGTTCTAGTCCATCGACTGTGTACATTTTTGAAGTAATCAATGAATCAAATGATTCACAGTTGCGCAGAAATTACTTGCATAAAAACAGTTTTAAGCAGATTCTTTTAGATTTGGAAGATAATTAAGATGTATTTTTGTTGTAAGTCATCTAAAAATATTTTCAATTTAACCCACGACCTGACAAAGTAGGCTCATACTTTCTTGAGATGCTATGAAAAATCATAAATTATGTAACACCAAGCCCCGTCTTCCGACTTTTATTCTTATGCATGCTATTACTATATCACCACCTAGGATTGTGTTTCCCCAACGTAGGATTTATACTTATATGTCTCAAGCTTTATCTTTATAATACGCCATTTTTGTAGTCCTGAAATATCATTATGAACCGACAATCGGATATGGCGTTATATAGTTCTTCGGCTTCTGATGAAGATAAAGCTAAAATATATACGACTTAGTTTATGTTTAATAATACACCTCATTCAATGCTTAATACTTTGAGTTTTGATAACCTTACAAAACCGTACAAAACTGTATTTTTAGTTATTTACTTTCATATATATCCCTGACATGAGATTCGAATCACTAAGCTAGTTCTGTAAGAGGAAATGTCATTCTAATGAGGATTAAGGAAATATTGGTTCATAAGACTAAACGATATAAGAAACTAAATATATCTCTTATCTCAGGACTTGGCCACAACAAATACTGTGACAAGCAATGCACTCAAGTGTAAATACCCTAACAATGTTGGTCAGTGTGTAGAGCAAATAAAACTTACGCTGGCTGTCAGCGCGTGCAGCTGGAGCGGGCACGGAAACAGCGACGTGAACGGAAACGGGAACGGGATCGGGAGCGCGCATATTGGCAATGGCCATTGCCAGCTGGGTTGGTGGTGGTGGTGGTGGTGGGTCAGGCGCGTGCGGATCAAACCGTAGGCTGACAATGTGCACGCTAATGTTGAGAGCCACAGCCGGGCAGGAGGCAGCCGCCTTGGCGGATGCTGGCCAGTCGAGGGCGACATCAGGTGGTGGCCAGTGCGGCGCGCTTAGAACGCGTTTGCTCGCCATTGACATTAGCTGGAGATAATGTGCGGGCGATGACTCCGCCGACACGATGTTAGCTTCCGGCTGATGCCGCCACAAAATGCCACAATCCGGCACACTAATTGGCACGTGATGGTCCGGTGGCTGCAGCTGTTGCTCCGACTGCTCCTCCGTCTGGTCCGCCTGCGGGGCGTGCCTGGCGAAGAGCGGGCACCAGACGTTGCTCAGTGCTGGCATTGCCCCGGAGCTGCTGTGTGACTAGGAACTCGTTGGTACTGAAGCGCGTTGTTGACTGGCAGCGCTTCGCAGTTTAGTCATGTTTTTTTTTGCTATTTTCCTTTTTTTCAATTTTGTTGTTTCTTTTTCATTTGACAAAATTAAAAGTGTCGAGACTTATCAAAATTATCAACAACTAGTTGAGACTGCGGCTGTGGAACATGTCAGAGTCAACGCTCGACTTTTAGTTGGTTTGCTTTTGCTCAGCTGATAAGTGCCAGCTGTTGGAACCAGAACTATATACCTATATAGGTACTATAACCAAGGCGTATAGCATGACATACGAATTGCAGTTCTCCCCTGAACGCCCTTCCGAACACCCTGGCAAGGTCGCTACCTTATCAGTCATGGTCTGATAACAATAGCTGCAAATTTAGGGTATTTTTAATTTATACCCAGTGGCCAACAGGGTATAGGGTATATTAAGTAAAGCAAGCCTGTTCAGACTAAGCAAACCCAACATAAGTTATCATTGCTTTGGTTTATGATCCGAGCCAAAGCATATTCTTAAGGTTCGGTTCGTGAGCCTCTTCAACCTTGTGATCCCTTCAAATTGGTTTTTAGTATATTTTAGCATAATAACTTTGGTATAGGGTATTGCTTAGGTCGGACGTGCTCGACTAGTTAGTTACCTTTCTAATTGAATCATGTGCCTGGATTATTTATACTCAGATTCAAGTGTTTCCCAACACTTCAGCCTTAGATTCGCATCAAGAGTGCGTCATAAACCGTTCATGGAACTGACTCATGCAAAAATGAACTATGATACCATTTAAATTAACTGCATGTTCATCTAGATAACAGCACTCGATAAGCAAAGAAATCAAAAACTCTTGATGTTATTGTTGATTTCCTTAAACTTTCTTTATAATGGAACTAAAAACAAAACTGTTCATATTGAATACTGCGTCGCAGATCAATTAAAATGGTTTACGATATTATGACTGTCGATTAATCTACACGGGCTACATACTCTAATATCCCTATGAAGTGTTGAGTCTTCTGTAACTGATAGCCATGCGAGCTGATATGACAACAATTACTACGCTACTCGATTCGATTACTGGGCAAGACATAAAATAAAGAGAGTGAGAGGGGGGAGATAATGCGAGTATCAGAGAGACAATAAAATCAACTCTTTCTAAAAACGGACTGTGAAATATTGAACTAGTTCATCAATTCACAAGCTGCAGTCACTTTTATAATATAGTTAATTCAATTTAATTTAATCAGAAATTTATGTTTCTTCAAACATATTTAACTAGTTCATCAATTCATGCGCTGCATGCTACTTCCATGAACTAGTAAATTCATTTAATGTGTTTCTCTATTTAATTCTAAATTTAAGTTTCTTATAACTCTGCCTATTTATGTATATTTGTATTATTAAACTAGTTCATGAACTAGTTCATTTTTTACATATGTTATTCTAGTTAATCAGAAAATTATTATGCGTTAACTTATTTCTCACGTTTTATGTTTGTCTTGCCAACGTTTTAGAATAAAAATACAGAAGCTGATGTGACCAACTAGTTCGTTGACTCATTTGCTTAGGTTTTGCATAAAGTATTTAAATAATATATTGAAGCGTGCTTTGTTTTTGTTATTTGCATATAATCATTTAACTGATATATTCACTGGTGAACTAGTTCCGCGAAATACAACCCTGCGCCTCGCACAGCTCAAATAAAAACGCAATAAATCCAAAACCGTAATCAAAAACCTAACCCCATACACTGATCATTAGGCTCATGTAATCAAAGCTGATAAGCGCACGTCATTGATAGGCCAAACTGGGCAGACGTGGATTTGCCTTGTGGCCAGCAGCCCAAGGGGTGCAGGGTGTGTTTTGCGTGCAAGTTGGGACGGGGTAGATGTGTCCCCGCCATCGTTTGGCAACTTTTGATGAAACCGCGCGAAACGACGGCCAACAAATTTGCATAACTGCTTCGTTGCCTGGCGAGTGGACAGCGTTTGAGGAGAGGCACTCGGGTGTGTGTGTGTGTGTGTGTGTGTGGAGGGGCATGATTACAGCTGGTAAGGGAGGCGTGACGTTGCACGCATGCATGCGTTGCATTCATCAACGGCAAGCGTTCACGCTGACGCCGACGTCGACGCAGACAGCCAACACTTTCGCTTCAAACAACAGACAACAAAACGCTGAAAATGAAACGTTTCACAGAAACGACCACAAAGCAGCAGCAGCAACAACAACAAGAAGAAACAATGCTCCAGGCGAAAGTACTCGACTTGAAAATACCCTGTATTTAGCATCGAGCTGGCGCAGCAAACATTTGTATTTACCTTTGGGTTTACCTTTAATCCAGTTGAAATTATTAGATTTTTAATAACTTATGCATAGTTTTCGATATTTATCGATTAGGCTGGGCTGAGTCATCGATAAGTTTATATAATCTGTATCTGTGTATGCAAGATATACTTAAAGAATACTGTTATAAAATCGATATTTATCAATATTTTGTAAATGGAAAAACAACTGTATGCCGTACAAGAACCTACACTCTTGTTAGAGAATCGATATTTATCGATAATTTGGCTTTGGACGAAATAAGCTATGCATGATATACGAGAAAATATTTTACATATTGAAGCAATATGCTGAAGAAAACGTGACTGCAAATCGATATATTATATATCGATTGCAACAAAAATATCGTATACAGCTTGGCTGTTGATGTTGATGAACGTTAAATTCAAATAAGATTTGGCAAAACTGCAATATACCCCTTCCATTTAGCCTTTTCCAGGGTATCGCAAGAGCAGCTTTAGCTACTCCACAGCTCCCTTAGACCGAACCCGGCCAACTTGAGCGTTATATCCGTCCACCAAAATATTGTTTCATTACGCGTTGCCCAAACATTGTTGGGGCTGCGGATGCGGACGCGGATGCCAGTCGCTAGTTGCAGCGCCTTGATGGTGCGTTTTGGTCCTTTTGAGTGGCAAACGTGACGTTGCCGGGCATATAAATCAGATTTTGGGCCAGTCTGCGCTGCTGCTGTTGGCGCGACAAAAACGGCAGCAAAGGAAGAATTGATGGCCACTTCAGACAACTGACAAGCAGCAGCTGGAACAGGAGCAGGAGCAGGAGCAGGAGCAGGAGCAGTAGCGGAAGCTGCAGCAACAGTAGCTGAAAGATGCGAAGGACAGCAAATTGCGTGGGTTTTTGGATTTCAATGGGACGTCGGAGCTTCTGTTGTTTGCGCAGCGAGGCGTTAAAATGTTTGTTTGCATTAATTTGCCGCAGACGTTGATGCGACTCGTGACGTGGCATGCAGCAGCGGCAGCATGCAACCAATTAGTGTGCCACACAAACACACAAATGGAAAGATAGAAAACGTTGCGCCTAACTGGCCACAAAATTGGTGCAAAATAGTTGCCGGCACACGAAATAATTAAACAAGCAGCAGCTAGCACAAAAATGCGACAAGTTTTTGGTGTGGGCGTGGCAGGCGCATTTTTGTGGCATGTTTTCAAAGCGAAGGCGCGAATGCCAAAGACGCGACGCATCGATTTAAAGATGCCGCCCGAAAGTATGCAAGAAAAATGTCGTCGCAAAACTGAAACTTTAATCTTATCGCCGCGTGGGAATCGGTGGGCGTTGGGCGTTCAACTGGGCCCAAACTGGGCTCGGGTTTGGGCTAGTTAGCTGCCCCCGGGGGCACAAAGAATTTGTGAATTTGCATAGCCGTAAGCTTTAACTGGCAGACGCAACATAAATACTTAAGACCGAAAGACCCGTAAATACTAGCCAAGATTCCAGAAATAAATAAAGAAATTGAGTCACCAAAAATGCGGGAAGAGCGGTTTTAAATTAGGAAAGGGGCGCGTTGCGATAATATTTGAAATGCTAAATATTTATGGGAATTTTTGGAAATGTATTCCATTTTTTTTTACATTTTATATTAAAGTTTTCAATTGAGTTTAGTTAAAAATATTTTTCTTTTAGATTATTTAAATTTTAATTATTCTCTTATTATTGATAACGATAATGTATTATTTATAGGACCCGACTATTACCTTTGGCTCACTTTAACAAAAACAACACAAACTTATCGCAGTCACACAAAGCAAATCCATTTTCTATACATTTTTGCAGTTGATAACTAATATTAAATGTTGTCAATTTTCTGAATAAAAGAAAATATATTAAAAAAAAAAAACAGTTCCATCAAAAAGTCCCCAAAAAAATATATGAAAGAGTTGAAAAACTTGTATAGCGCGAAAGTAAACTTTGTTAATGTCAATAAATTGATAGTAAGCCGAAAGTAGCTTTTATTGGCAAACAAACGTCGCACTGTCAATACACCTTCGATAGCTCAGTTGGTAGAGCGGTGGACTGTAGAGTTATATGCAATTGTAGAAATCCATAGGTCGCTGGTTCAAATCCGGCTCGAAGGATGGTGTAAACGTTTTACTTTTTTATTTTTTTTCAAATAGAGAGTAAATCTTTAAGCAAACTCAATGAAATATTTTGCAATAAAAGCTGAGACAATTTTTAAGCCATGAAAATTGAACAATTAAGGAAAATATAATACAATTAAAGAAAATAGCAAACTAAACTTCTCTTACTGCAAAATGCCCTCAAGCCCGTAAAAAAAGAACGCAAAAATAAATTTCAAAAAACCAAAAAACCGTGAGCCAATTGATGAAAATAGGGAAAACTAAAGTAATAAATGGAAATATCTTCAAAAATGTAAACTGAGTAAAGTTTAAAGTCGAGTTCAAGATCTACACATAACTTTCAATAGATGGCGCCAGGCATGGTTTGTTATTTTTACAGTTACAATAACCGTGCTAATAATTCACTCAAGTGGCGCACTGTCTTTTGATTGGTTAACTGATTTCTGTTGTTCCAATGGGTAAGAGGTGGCCGAGGCGGGTGGGCGGTTACGGGGGTGGAGTAGGCAACTAATTGTTAACTTTGGGCAAACAACGAAACGCAATCAAACGTGGCGCAAAATTTGCCAAGCTCGACGGAAGAAGGCAAACAGCAAAGCACACAAAAATTCGACGAAATATACAGATATTATATATATCTATATACATATATAAATATATAAAACTGGTAAAATTACGGCTCACACTCCGCTGGCTGCGCTTGACTTGAGTCATGTAGGGGGCACGGGGGCGTGGTCGGGCGGTGCGTTCAAATGTATATTTTTTGCGAGACTTACCTTCGAACTTTTCATATGCAGCGAAGCTTAACTTTTCCGGCACAAAAGATGAACCGCGTCGCGACCCCGCGCCGGCAGCGACGCTCAGCTCCGTCAATGTTGACTCCTTCTCGTCGCCAGGTGGCGTTGCCAATGCCATCACTGGCGCTGGCAACTGAGCACTGGCCGCGCTGCTGCCGCAGCCGCTGCCGTTGCCGTTGCTGCTGCTGTTGCCCGTCGAAGATCTCTCGACCGAGAAGCTGGCCACCTTTTTGAGCACATTGCTCGACAGCAACGAATTTGTGGGCGTACCATAGCCGGGCGGCGGCGGCAGCGGGCCTGCATCATTCAGAACCTCCTCGGCTAGCAGCATGCCCTCCGTCGCCCCACCATTGTCCGTGGGCGTGGCTGGCCTTTGAGTCGTCGCTGGTGTTTGAGATGATTTAAACGAAATTATAACAGTTGATTGAGTTTCCAGCGCCGTTGATGACGCAGTCGGCGTCGTAGTCTGCGCTGCTGTTGCTGTTGTTGCACCTGCTGCTACCGCTGAAACGAAACGAAATGAAACAAAAGAAAATGAGAATGAAATTAGAATGAAACATGTGCATATATGCACGCGGGAGCGAAAGAGAATAAACAATTCTTGGACTAATGCTAACTTGTTTGTAATCGTAATAAAGTATACCTTACATCTAAACTTTTCTTAGCGATAGAACAACCTAATATTTCTTAAATTTGTAAAAGTTAAAAACTTCAAAGTCCAAGAATCTCAGAACCTATAAGAGCTAGAGACTCGAAATTTGGAATGTAGGTCCTTCTAGTGCCCGCGTAGTAAGAGTTTCTTTTTGATAATCGATAACTTGCCCGATTTCCAAGCAAACGATAAGAATCGACATAGCAAAACTGCATTTTGAGCAAATCTCGTATGTTTTAAGAGCTAGAGTCACCAAATTTGACATCTAGTTTCCAGAGTGTATACAGATCAAGTATCTTTCATGTTATAGCCATCGACGCGCCCCCTCTTCCTTGGGTCGAGCTGCATTTGGTGTCGGCTCCGACTAGAGCCCTTTATTTGTTGATGCATACAATATTTAAGCCGTCTTTAACATCATTTAAGACTAATGAACTCTATCAAGAGCAGCTCTTTAAATATGAATATACCCAATAATCGCGTTGCGTGGCAGCCAATTTGTTTTGCCTGAGCAAACAAATCTAGAGCAAATTGTATATCTTAAGAGGCAACATTTTCGATAGAAATGCGTTATTAAATGCTGCGCGGAAAAGAGAGAGGGGTCCTGACTTCCTCCTTTGCCTGCTGCTCAATTGACTTGGCCAATTTTGGAGCTGGTGCTTGGTGGACCTGGGCCTGGTTCTGGTCCTGGCCCCAGTCCGTGCCTGAGCACACCCAGCGGAGCGCTTATCGCGGCCATCATCATTGACTGTGTGCCCAAGTGGCAGCCCCGCCCTAATGCCCGCCGCCCTGCTGCCAGTTCCCACGTGCATCATTCTGTACAACATGATTTAATTAAAATTTAAACTTTGTTTTTTTTTTTTTTTTACTTTTTATATTTAAGGACTCACAACAATGGGGAATTGGAAAATGGAGCCGGGCGCTGCTCGGAGCCCTGTTTCCGGCCGACATTTTGTAAACAATGAAGACGTGTTTGCAATTTTTAAGTTTTTTACAAATGTTTTCGGCGTGCCGGGCCCTTTCTCTCACTCTCTCTCACTCTCTCTACCCCCTTTTGGGGACGACTTTGGCTCTGTTTGTTAGCCAAGCGGCGGACGCGCAATTAGACGGGCATTAGGTGCCGGGCGGCGGCGGGGACGGCTGGGCAGGATTGGCTGGGGCTGCTCTTGTAAACTTAAGGGCATGCCGGGGATTTTATATACATTTTAGCTGGCAATTATATATATTTTAAATATCATGTGCGACCGGCACGAGCGCGAGCCTTTGCATAAATGTGCCAATAATTACTTTGGGTCCCGACTCGGGGGGATTTTTTTTATAAATTTGATTATACTCTCGTTGAGGGTATTAACAATTTGTCGTGATAGGAGATATGCCTGAATATATGTATATATATGCTTGATCGGAAAATCCTTTTGGATATAGCCATTTTAGTCTGAATCGGACAACTAGTTTAAAAACATTCGATTTTTAAGATATTTTGACCAAATATATAAGGCACTGATAATTATATCACATATCCGTCACGGAAAATTAAGTTCTTGTCCTTGTCCCAACCCATGTTTCACTATGCTCCTGAAAATCTCCAAATCAACACCGAAACAGTATATCGTATTGCTGCTATGGGAATGAAAAAAATTTATCCTTTTTTCTTCAATATACTCAATCAAAACTTCGAACTCAGTAAGTCGCAATGTCTTTAAGAGTATTTAATATTCGGCGAGCCGAAGATAGCCCTTCCATCTCATTTCTTAAATAATAATTCTTATTGTTTTCGTTTAGCGTCACTTTTTCGGGGCTTGGGGTTTGTTTTAGGCACCAAACTGATCGGATCAGTTGCTAAAACAATAAAATGAAGCTGAATGGAGGAAGAAGTTGCAGAGGGCGAAGGAGAGGGGGGAGTCTGGCCAGGGATAGGCAAGTAGAAAAATGGCAGCGACACGAGTTAATTAAAAAACTTGATACAACTTTTTCAAAATACCCTTGAGTAACTGGTTGACTTCATGTAAAACAAAGGCAATTAAAGGGGAAATGGAGGGGGGGGGGGGGGGGTGGCTATAATACACGTATTGTCAAGTACATAAAAATTACAATTGTGTACAAGCTGCAATTAGGGAATGTAATTAAAATCAATCGAGCCCAAACATAATTCAATAAAAATTGGATAAAAATGGAAAAGTTTTGATATAGTCAAAACGAGAGAGAGCGAGAGTGAGGGAGAGAGCTCAACTATAAGATACCCTATTTAGATACCTCTTACAGAGTAGAACATAAATGTGATTGAAAAATATATTTTAATTGTTGTTGGCAAATCAAGCCTTAAGATCTGGAGAGGCAGTTAATAATGTAACTGGAAAGCCTGTTAGTCCTGTCGGACTTCAGAGCCCTAAGGACATGATTTACCCTTAACTTAACCTTGCGCACAGGCTTAAAACAATTTTCAAATTTAACTGCATTTTTTCACGTCATTCAGATCGGAAATATTCACAGCTAACTTTCATTTACAACAGATATCAAAGACATTAAAGTCGCGCACATGTTGTAATTTTATGACTAATCCAAACATTCTCAGACATTCAAATTTCTAGCAGTCGTAGCATATCTTCTTCGTTTTTCCGCTTTAACTATCCATAAAAATACTTGTAAAACCTTGTAATAGCAACTAGTTTTGAGCTAGTTTTTTTCTTGCTGCTACTCCTTAAACATATTGTTATTCTCTTTTCAATTGTGGTCCTTGAACGTTGCCAACTTCAATTATCTTTTGGCAACCTTTGGGATTCCAGATATGGGCCCTCAAACCGTACAGTTTAACAAGCACTTCACCTCGATGCTGGTGTTTACCTTTGAAATTGGCGCCGAACATCAGTCGGAGAACAAGTAAAAACGTTGTTAGCGTTGTGAGTAGCCGACTAAGCCATACTCTGTTTAACTCTAAATTTTACTTAATATATACAAATGAAAATTAATATTTTTAAATATTTACAATTTTAATGCTCAATTTGTATCAATTCTTTCTCTTTCCTTCCGCTCTCCCTATTCTTATCTCACTCTCTTCCACTCGCTCTCTCGCTCTCTTCTCTTATTGAATTAAAATTTTAAACTAATTGAAACTGAATAACCCATATACTTCATTGCTCTCACGAAAAGCGTATAAAAAGGGACAGGGCTTTTAGGTTTTTTTTTTGTGCTTTTTTATTTTCGGACACAAGGGCCACACACTTGAGCATACACACGGCTTCAAGTGCGGGACAACAACAACAACAAGTGGAGCTGGTCGTGAAGCTGAGCCCAGCATCGGGAAGATTGGGTTTTTGGGCGCCGCGCGGCGCGTTTCGTTTGATTTGCAAGGGGCCAAGTGGGAATTTGAATAATTCCCGAATTGCGCCAAAAGGCACAAACTGTATCCAGCCATGCCTGCGCGCCCACCCGTCTCCCGCCCACTCAGCTAATGCGTTTGTAATGGAAAACGGCGACCCTCACGTGACCAGCTCGTCCCGGAATGCGAAATGTGCAAATAAATGCTCTCGACTCACCTGCCATGCCCCCATCCGAAGCATGTGTGGGCGTTGTAGGGTTAACGGCAGCGCTAAAACGCGACGATAGATTCTGCAGCTCCACCTTCTTGGCCTTGGATATGTTGAAGTTGTTGTTGCCCAGGGGCGAGTCGACACGCGGCGTGGCCACCGCCACAGCCGCTGCGGCAACGCCCGCTGCACCCGCTGCAGCTGCCGTGGCCGTTGCCGTCACGCCCGATTCCATGGCAGACGGCGGCGGTGTGCCCGTGGTGCCCAGCACCTGGGCCAGCTTCTTGCCCAGCTGCAGCGCCATGCGCTCATCCGGCGAACTCTCCGGCGTTATCAACAGTTGTTCCTTCTGCAGCAGCTCCGCCTCCTGCGCCTGCTCCGGCTGATCATGGGCAATGCTCAGGTACGTGATCCGGCTCAGGCTCAAGCAGGCGATCTTATCGGCGCGACAGCGACGCTTCAATTCCAGCAAGTCCTTGTTATTGAGATCTAGCGAAGGAATACAGTTGAGGATCAGGCAAAGCAACTTTCTGGTTCATGTGAAAGAACACTTGGCTTATATGGTATTTATTGTATGTTAAAAGTATCGGGAAATATATGATTCCGAAAATTGTATTTGCAAGGCAAATCTTTAGTTTTGTATTACCAAAAAATTATATAAATATTTGATGTAAAATTTCTGCTATAAAATATGTATATAATTTATTGGAAATACAAAACTCATTACACATAAACTTCTTATTGGACTAGTTGTAATTGTTTAATTTCTTAACAATTCCAATTTGATACCTAGAAGGAAACATTTGAATTCTAGTCGAAATTTGACTAATAAACAATCTCTTTGGTCGAACAACATCTGCTTTTTATCCAAAAAATATCTCAAACAAAACTTTTCTAATGTATGTACACATCTTCATATTCATTTCTGACTACTTCACATTCATTGATTATTAATATACAAGGGGATAAGTTAGAATTTGAAGAAATATGAATGTTTTCCATGTGGGAACTATAATTTTGTAAGAAAAATTTGCGCCTAAGCTATATTTATTCATGATCAATATTGGTAAGGCCAAGTCCTTCTCTATGTCTGCATGCTTCTAGATCAACTAGTCTCTTATTTGTTGTTGGCATTAGACACATTGGAATCGCTCAGATCGGACCACAATATCATATGGCTGCCATAGGAACAGATGAAGACAAATCTAATCATCGGACTAATCCATCATATAACTTTGGCTTTATCAGTCGATATTGAATTGTGTGGAATAAATTGTATACGATGTATTTAGTATTTGATATATGTACGCAATGATAATTAATCCCCAACTCTTTTGTTTCAACATGCTGGCATTTAGACATAAGAACTTAAAAAAATGTATTTTAGAACGAACTCAACTAAAAACATATATATGAGTATATCATATTAAAGGCAAATCTTTGCTAAAATGCTGCATATAAGATATACTTCAATTGCAAAGCATTCAGAACTATTTTCCATCCATTTCTAATTAGAAACATGCACGAGTCTAATAAGAATGTGGGCTTTGCGTTAGTTACCAAAGAGCGAATCGGAATCATTGCTGGGAGAAGAAGAAGCAGATGAAGAAGTAGACATGGAGAGGGAGTGCAGACGTTGCTGCTGCTGCTGCTGTTGCTGCGTCAATGTGGAAGTGGATGCATAGCAGCAATCGTCGCTGCTGCAGTTGTGAAACTCAGCGGAGTCGCTGTTGTAGTCCAGGCTGACGACGTCATCTGGCGGTGGGCAGCAGAGATGGAGAGAAAGAAAGAGGTAGAGAAAAAAGACAAGAGATAGAAGTGCGCGCAAGATGAGCTATGTGCTCAGAAATTTCAATTAAAACAAAATAAGCCACTTAATAACAAATAAAGAACTCATTGATTTATGGCTGACAATTGCGGCATTTGCAGCTCATTCAGAAAACACGACATGTGTAAAATATAATAATTAAATAAAAGTAAATAAAAACAAAGCGCCACTGGAAAGCGGCAAGACATGGCAAGAGTGAGAGCGCGGGCGAGAGAGCAAATAAAATGGGAGAGTGGAGATTGAGAGAGCGCGTCTGAGCGTTCTCATTGGAATGGGCCAAACAAAAGGTAAACTGAAAACTGAAACTAAAAACCCTAACGCAAAATTATGAAAATCCATATGGAAAATGAACTCAAAAGCAAAAGGTTAAGCATTATGACAAATGACGAATGAAAAGCGGCACAAGAAAAACCAAAAAATAAGAGCATGCCAAACAAAAACAAAACAAAGCCAGGGCACAACTCGAAACTGGTTTGGTTATGGGTCAGCTGGCGGGCAGCGGGTGGCGGGAAGTTTCAGGAACAGGCACGGGAACGGGCACGGGAACGGGCATGGGAATGTCGTGGCGGCGTCAGTTTTCTTTTATTATATGTATTTACTTCTTTTTTTTGGTTTGTGGTTTATTCTAGTTGACAAGACACCAACAAATTGTTTAATTCCTGTGTTTGGCAATTAAAGCCAATTGAAAGCAAAACAAAAGATAAAACAAAACGTTGAAGAAAACAACAACTTGTGCGAGCACCTGTAAATGTGTTGACTGTTATATTTATCTCTGTCACTCTCTTTCTCGCGTTCAGATGTCAATTTTCGCTTGCTTTTTGCAAAACTTTACGCGTCGATTCTAACACAACTTTTCACTTTTCATACACACATTTTCCAATTAGCCGTAAGCGATAGAGACGGCAACGGCGACGGCGACGACAACAAAGAGTGCGACTTGAACGATCTGCGCGGCAGCAAGTGCAAAGCGTAACTAACAACAACAAGAGCAACTGGTTTATGGGGGCCACATGTGAGCGAAGCCTGGAAGTCAAAGCCGAACGCGTGAGAGCGGCAGAGCGTATGAATGGAAGAGAGCAACTGGAGGTTTGTTGTTGGCGGCTCAAAGCTGTAATTTGAACGGTGCAAATGAACGAACGGCGTCAAAGAACAAAAGCAACTGGAATCAATATGTTAATCGATGACTTGTTGAATCTGAATTTATAACAATATAATCTGTATTTAAGAAGGCGAATGTTTTAATAGCAATCAGCAGGAAGCGCAGTCCGTTTCAGTGCAAAGGAAGACTGACGACGAGAGAGAGAGAGAGAGAGAGAGAGAGAGAGATAAAGAAAGAACTAGCTCACTTTGGAATCTTTTTTATAAAAGCTGGTTCAGCTACTTTAAATATGCATGTATTTAACGGAACTGAATTGTTCGAAATGTGTAAGAAACTTTTTATTAATAAAAAAAAATACTGAGTAAGTGAATATGTGGAGTAATTCAATTCTTAAGTTTTACTGCAATTGCTCAATTGGCATATTACAGATGCTGTTTATTGGAAGCTTAAAAAATGATCATGGTGGTTTAGGGTCTACTCTCAGGCGGTTTGTTCAAATACAAATTCAAAAGCTCAATTGTTGACGCAGCTTTTATGCAGCATACCTTTAGGTGGTTACGAAAAAACTGTGAAGTTAGTTTGTATATTAACTGTTAAAGTGATTCACAATATAATATTATATAAGCTAGTCACAATGGAGTTTGTTAAATGAACTAAGCCAAAAATATAGCTGGATTTGAATTAGCGAACGAACACACAAAATACTATTGTCAACAACATTAAACCGTTGTTTTAACTGTACAACGAGCATGCAGAGTGAGATAGCAATAGCCGAAAAGGGAGCCGAGTAGCGTGGCAGTGCTAGAAGTTTACAATTTTACACAAAAATGTACAAGGAAAACTATTAAAACTAATTGCCATAAATATTAGCGGCCTGCCACGTGCTATGCCAAACTTTTTTATGCAGCCGAAGTGTGAGTGTGAGTGTGTGTGTGGTTGTGTGTGTGTGTGGTAGGCCCTTAACTGAGCACGTCGCCAGTTGTTGTTGTTGTTGTTGTTGTTGTTGTTGGCTGCAGTCGGCGCCAAAACTAAGCCGAAACTCAACTCAACAACAACAGCGGCAACGACCTGCACGCATCCGACAGCGGATACCCTATCCTCGCAGCCCCCCCCCCCCCCCCCGCGCAAATTCCATGGCTGCTTTTTATATTTTTGCAAATGGAGGCCGCTGAGTTTTGCTTAGGGCCCACATGAATTATGAATTTATGCATTGAAAGAGGCTTGAACAAAAAAAAACAAAAAAAAAACATGAAAAACGAATTCTTGTTGTGTGTATGTGAAATGAATGGGGGCGCAGCTTTTTCAGTTGCGCGGTGGGCGGTAGAATGGGGGCGTGCCAGCTCAGCTATCTCACGCTTAAAAGGGAATTTTTGATAGCAGCATTTCGCGCTGCAAAATCGCGCCTTGGCACGTTTACAAATTTTTCGTTGATTTGATTTTGGACTTTGCCCGCTGCAATGGCAGCCATGCAGGCCCGCCTTTGAATTGCTTTTTGATATAGCCAACAGCCCTGCCCCACCCCTTACCCGCTCTCCCTCTCCACTACCCGCCCTTAGCATCCACTTGTGTGCCGATCTGCGTGCAGCCTAGCTTTTCATTCGAATTGGATAGGAGTACGTCTTTGTAAACAGGAAAAGCAGAGGCACAAAATGCTCGCTCAGTTATTTCGGCGTCAATTTGTATACACTAACTGTTGGGCTTGAACGACTATGACAGCTGTTTTGTAACGCAATGCAAATTACTTTCTTCTCAGTTTCTTGGTTTGATCGGGAGTAGATATATCAAATCTTGCGATTTTTTTTTTGGATTATCAATAGTTGAGTAAAATATAACTTTTATCATCGTATAAATGAATATAAATTGATTATTTTGTTTGGATTTTAGGCATAACTTATAAATAGAGTTTTTTAATTTCGCGAAAATCTGACTTTATTTTAACAATAGATTTTCATGTTGACTTTTAGGCTAATACTAATGTCAATACATCTATAAACAAACCTAGCCCTCGAACTAGGTTCCCTACTCAACAACTGCAATAGTTAGGGCATTAAGAGTTCGTCTTGATAAGAACGTATACTCAATGTGGTTCGTTTATATTTCAATTTGTTTTGAACTGGTGAAGGCCGCTCTCCGACTCGAAGTCAGTCTGCAAGTTTTTCTTCTTTTTATTTAAGTCAACGCGTTTTTTGATAGACAGAGTCAAGTTTTTGAAGTGGGTCGGTTCTATCTGAGTATCTCAATCCGTTTCTGTGTGTGTTTGTGTGTGTGTGTGCGAGTATCTGTGTGAGTTATGATTGTGAACGTGCCACGCTTTGAACTGCAGGCAGTCATATTTTCTCGTTAGCTTATTTTTTTTATATTATTTTCTTATTTTAAAGCAACATCTTAAAGATTTCACATGAATAACTAAAATCTATAAATTTTTGATTTCACTTTGCCGATGCGTACGCAAGTAAAGATATTATTTTGCCAGCTTACATGCCAATAAGTTGGTCGAGTGCGGCGGCTAGGGACGGGTGTTAGAGGGGGAGGGGGGGGGGCGTCTACAGTCGGGGGCAGTACGATATATACACAAGTACTGTAAGCCATGGCCGAAAACAAGCAACGCCAGCGGAAAAGTAAAGCTCAGAAATTTTCTAACATTCAAGCGCAGGCAGAAAGCAACAAAAGCTGCCTGCTGGCAGGGTGCACGCCGAGGGGGAGGGGGCGGGGACAGGCGAGAGGTACAGCAAAAAAAAGAGTACACAACATTTCATAAAACTTCAATGAAAAGTTTGGGATTTTTATTTTGTTATTTCGAAAAAAACTTGCACGAAAATTCTTATTTAAACTACGCTTAAATTGCAATAAGTCGACGGGCAGAAAATGTGCGAAAGAGACAGAGACACAGAGAGAGAGGGAGAGAGAGTGTAAGGGACGAGATTTAGTGCGCGCTCTAGGGTTGCCAGAGTTGTATAATAAAACAAAAGTCAGCACAAGTTAAAAAGAAAACAATGCAAAAAAAATCGAGAGTTGCCATACTGAGCTGCGTAAAAAAATATACAGACGAGAAGGCACGACTTTGATATACCCGTAGTCGAAAACAATAAGAGGAAGAATACTTCAATCAAAACAACTCTAAATTGAGAATAGAACAATTCGTTAACTTAGGAATAAGTGAAACGAAATAATATTATTATAAAATTGGTCTTAGTTAAAAAAAATAGGCATAATAGGAAAATCTTGTAATTACTTTTATAATGAATTTTAAGATAATATGAAATTAAATGGAAAAAACCTAAAAAAATTAAATAAATGAAAATTATATGAAAAAGGAATACAAATTTAATAAATTTGATAAATGGGATGAAATGGGAAACGGCCAATAAAATTAAAATGGAAATTAAATGGATTTCATAAATAAAAATAAATAAATTATAGAAAAAGGAACGAATGAAAGACACTCAAAAATTTTATAAATAGTATAAAAGGCATAGAACCTTCTAATTGTAAAAGCCTAAAGACTTATGCAAAAGTTTATAGTTAAGAAAAAAGAAATATACAAAAATTTGAAAATAATAAAAATGTGTTTTAATGCGTAGAAAGAATGATTGATATTTCGGGGAAAGTAAGTATACACTCTCAGGCCTGCGGCACGGGTATAAAAACAACCGGGGATAAAAAAAAAAGGAGAAAAAAATAGAATTTGCGGACAAACTGAATTTGAACCAGGCAAAAAAAAAAAAAAAGAATAAGAAGAAAGTAGAGTAATAACAATCAAAAGCAAAACAACAAAACAAAAATATTGTTGCTCAACTTCGAAATTGACTTACGAAAATCCATTTGTTCGACGCTGGCATTCAATTGTCCATGCCCCACATCCGGCGGCATGCCCCATTCGGCCAGTGGCGAGGCCGGCGCCGAGGTGGGCGACACAGGTGCCGCCTGTAGGAATACGTCCCGCTTCTGCTTTACAAAACGGCTAAAAACTCGCGCCTGATGGCTGCTGCTGCTGTTGCGACGCTCTTCCAGTGCCACCGTCGGTGGCATGCAACCGGGCCCGGTGCGCCCGCCCGTCGCCAGCCGCAGCAGGCTGTCGCCCGTTGCCGCTGGCTTTTCAAGGGCCGCTCGATTCTGGCTATGTGCATTGCCCATTGTTGGCTCCTTCTGGCTGCTGGACACCGGCTGTGGGCTGAGTATCGCACTTGGTTTCGATTTTCCTGTCGACTGTCGCTGTCGCTGCCGCTGCTGCTGCGGCGCCTGCTGCTGCTGCTGCTGCTGCGAGAGAGAGTGAGAGAGAGAGAGAGAAGTTTACGAAAATCAATTAAAAAAGTTTTCAATCAGCCGCATTGTTTGGGTTGATTTTCTACTTTTATTTTATTTTTTTTTTGGCTGCTGCAAAAACTTTTCTGCCCCAAAATGTTGCAGAAATATGAAATGAATTACGTTGCAAAGGTAGCTGTCGGGGGGCGGGGCGGAAGGGGGCGTAACGTTGCGGAACTCTGGTTGACAAAAGTTGCTGCTTTAGTTTTGTCTGATTTCAATAGATATATTGTACTATTTTTATTATTACTATTTTTGTGGTGCGGCTGCTTGGAACGGAATGGCTGAGGGTGGTGGGAGGGTAGGGAAGGGGAGGGGCTGCTGTCTCAATAGCATGGCTGGCGGGCACCGCAGCAGCAGCAGCAGCTCCGTTGCTTTGCCAACTTGCAACAAGCTGCAAATTGAACTTTTACTTTTACAACTGTGCCTCGCACAACAACAGCATCTCAATAATGATCATTAATTAACAATAAGATTCTGCATTTGCCAATGGAAATCTATCAAAATGACGAAAATTCATTTTAAAAGCTATTTGAGAACATTTATTTCAATTTAAACTCCCAACTTGATTTGTTTCTGATGCAGAATTCATTTCGAAAATTGTTTCAGTTTTTACAAAGCTTTAACTAGGTGTTTTTTTATGACTAAAAATTTCCGCTCCTCAAAATCTTATTTAATAACATTTAATACTAATTTTGAAAAAAAAGGACGATCAATTATATTTTGTAAGATCGCCCAAGTTTGAAACACAGATAACATTTATCACCAGACAGGTATCCATCATAGAAATGGGTAACGTTTGGTTAGGCTTAAAGAAGATCGAGTTGCCCGACTAGAGAATACCCTGTAGATACTTTTATATATACCAAATGCAGCTCGAATGACGCGCTCCTCTGTCTTAGCATTAACAAATATAAATTTAAAAAAAGCTTCCCCTTCTATCGATAGCTATAAAATGGAAGAGACTTGTTCTGTATATACTAAAACTTAGAAGAAATTTGTTGACTAGCTCTTGAAACCTACGAGATTTGTTGGAGAAAACAGGAGTTCGATATCGATTTTTATCGATTGCCTGGAAGCGGACAAGAATGACCTATGTTCAATCTATTCCAAGCCCCTAGCTCTTCTAGGTTCACACACAGACACAGATAGACCGACGAAGAAAGGGTAAACGGACGGACGGACAGACGGACATGTCTAGATGGACTCGACTATTGTTGCAGATCACGATTATTTATACCTTAAGGGAACGGAGATGCTTCCTTCAGCCTGTTACATACGTTTGCACAAAACCATGCTACCCTTTTTATACCCTACACAGGGTATAAAAAATATCCAAACAACGTTGGCCCAGCTCAAGAGCATGGCCTCGATAAATCATATCTAGCTGTTCATTGCACTCAATTGAATATAAATACATTACAAACTCATATCGTTCAAGTACTCAGATATCTTGTAAATTATTTCCCACAGTTTATCGCCAACTGATAAACGCGCTTTTGAGCTGCTGTTTGTCGAACTTGAAATTTAACAATAAACAAGTAAGAGGTTCTAGTCGGGAGCTCCCGACTAGGGGATACCCTGAACCCTCTTCTTCCAACATCAAATGCATATATATATTCTATTTTAGAAGCTATATGTCAAGTTTGGTGACTCTAGCTCTTATTATTTCCCAAAATTGCCCAAAAAACAGGATATTGATATCGATTTTTATCGATTGCTTGGAAACGGAGTAAGTTATCGATTATCGGAAACAAACTCGATCTGCGCGGGGACTAGGAGCATCTACATTTCATGTCTCTAGCTCTTATAGGTTCTGAGATCCTTGCGTTCATACATACGGACGGACGGACGGACGGACGGACGGACGGACGGACGGACGGATGGACGGACGGACGGATGGACAGACAGACGGACATGGCTAGATCGACTCGGCTATTGGTGCTGATCAAGAATATATATACTTTATGGGGTCGGAGATGCTTCCTTCTGCCTGTTACATACATTTGGATTTTGCACAAATACAATATACCCTTGTACCCATTTTTAATGGGTTCAGGGTATAAAAATGTTCCAGAACAAATGCGAATTGCTTATAAATTTGTAAGATAATCAAAGCAGAATATGTATGCCAGATATTTGACTATAAAATTTAAACTAATTGAATCTAATTTAATCTTTCTCTGATGTTCTATGGCGCGCTCTTCCTCTATCTTTCTCTCTCTCTCTCTCTCTCTCTCTCTCTCTCGCGTCTTGGGTCGCCGGCATAAATCACAATAATAAAACAAATTAGCAACAATATTTTTATCGGGCCGCCGCGTTGGTTTTTTATTATGCAGTCGACGGCTAATTGAAATACCTGGGCGGTCCGTAGGGGGGGGGGGGGGGGGGGGGGGGGGGGCGGGGTAGCTGTTTTGTAAAAATGTGCTTTTGGCTTAAAATTAATTGGCAGCAATAAATTTGTTGTTGGTTGTCCTGGACACGGCGCTAACTGGCAGGGTGGGGGGAGGGTACACACAGTGAGTCACGCGCGTCGTGCGCTGCATAATGAGAAGAAAATATTTTGGTATGTGTGTGTGTGTGCGTGTGTGTGTCCTTTTGCGCAAATCAGTTTTCAATTAGGGCGCGGCGTTGGGGGGCGGGCGTGAAAATAATGACGTAAACACTTGGAGCTTAATTGTGTCAAAAGCGCAATTTTGTGCAATTTGGCGAAATGAAAGTGAAAGTGAAAAGCGCACAGCACACATACACACACACACACAGACACACACACACAGACGCACACACTCTGTTACTGTTACAGACCTGAGTCGCACTTCCGGTGCAATTTATACAAATCTGTTTCTGTTTCTCTGGGGCGCGTTCTTATGCCCGTTTATATTCTGTAATTGTTTTTGTTGTTGGCGTTTCTGCTTTGTGCTAATGCGGCAAGTTCGTGACAGCCGCAATTTCCGCTCTCGCTCGCTCTCGGTGCCGCAACGCCTAGCTTGAATGCATTTAGCTTTGATATATGTATGTACATATATTTGTATTATTAACACGGCGCGATTTCCTTTAACGCGTTTTTCGTTTGCGTTTTCTCATCGCTCACACACTTGAATTGTTTATTTAACTGCAACAAAATGCGGCACACGATTTAATTGCAACTGCAGCTGTCAATAACGTGGTCGAGTGCATCACGTAAACAACACGAGCCGCGTTACGTTGTGCCGACGTGCTAGCCGAAGCTCTGCTTTCGCCGCAGTCAGCTGTTTGCTGGCGCTCGCCTGTCCTAGGACAACAAGTAACATCGACGGCGACAAGCGAATTGGGCGAAGCGGCGAGTGGAAAAATCGATGGCACACTGAAAGCCTAGCCAAGCGCTGTCATGTGCGAGCGAAAAGAGCGAATTCGAGAGCGCTGTGGCCGCTTGCTGTGAGAGTAGCGGAAAGAGAGGGAGAGAGTGAGAACAGCGGGACGTGCAAACGATAACAGCTGAGCGTTTGTTGTGGACCGTTTCAGATCGGGTCTTTAAATTCGTTTAATGCGCTGCGTCTTGAAACGATATATGGAATATTTTACTTAAAACGAAAATTCTGCTAAATTGTAATTTAAATAATTATTTAAAATATAACGTAAATAAAATTTAAATATATAAAAATATGTTAAAAATATATGAAAATTACAAAATTAATAATTTAAATAACCATAAATGCATATATTACTTTGGTCTTTTACATGATTATTGTATTATTAGCGCATTTCGAGGTTTAACTAGCCGATTCGTGCAGCTAATTAGCATATAGAGCTTTAGATTTTACCTCGGGTTAACATGATTCGTTTAAAATTACTCATTGTCCACTCACAAACACAAACACAAGCATAAAGCAATGGCAATCGCTTTTTTATGAGCTTTCCTGAGAATTGAGCATTGATAGCTGCTCGCCGATCCCAGCCCTTATCAATGGTGGGAGAGGGGGCTGAGCCGCGCCCCACAATAAATTTCAAATGCAAATAGGCACGAGTACATAATATAAAAATAAAATTCCATTTGCTCATTGGTTAAGTGACGATAAAATGTTTAGCACACTCTCCGCTGCCCTTCCACACGATTCTCAACGTTGTGCATTGTTTTTGCTTTCCAGTGGTCAGCTTTATGGGACTTTTTTATGTTTTCCTTTTTTAGAATTGATAAAAATGTGGGAATCAAAAGGTTGGGGATCTACCGAAGCTTGTATGCGCTTGCGGTGCTATAAATAAAAAATTACAAATTACAAAATTTGGGAAGTTGACACATACTCTGAACTGTAGGGTATTGTTAGGTGGGGTGAATATGTGGAATCGATTGATTGACTGATTGATGAGCAATGCAGAGTCCTGCCTGACGTAAAGCCCCATCTATAAGAGCTAGAAATCTTAATTCTTTGCAGAAGTTTTCCTATGTGAAAATAAAACTGTTTATCCTGAGTAATTGACTGGTTACCTGACTGATTGACTGAGAGACTGATGGATGAGCCGTGCAGAGCCCGAACCGTAAGAGCTAGAAATTTCAATTCTTCGCCGTAATTTTTGTTAATGCATATAAGTATAATATTTCAAATGAAAAATAATAAACCTAGTTGGCACATACAAATATTAAACTTGAATGGATTTGTCTTAAAAAAGAAATTTCAAAGCTCTACACTAAAAGAAAATCTACTTCATATTGAATAATGTAGTTGAAAAATTTGTTCTTTTTGGTGAAGATCGGGTGGGGAACTAATTTAAACCCTTATGCGAACTTATGTGGACGGGCAAAGCCGGTGAACACTTGCTAGTAAAATTGAATTTTAAAGTGAGATTATGTTCGTAAAATTATTAAATGGGATATATTTGTGACCTTTGAAACTTTGTGTGATTTATGTTCAAAGTCTTGAGCACAATTCAATGTAGGGTATGCAAAGTGTTTATGCTTTCGCTGTCGCATTTCGCAGCGT